CCTTAGTCTCAGAGTATGAGTTACTGACAAAAGAAGGAAGTATTATGAGTGGAAAATGGATGCTAATCTTAAACTTTCTATGCCAAACCGTTTAAGGAAGGGCATGCGAGAATGTTGTACTCCAGCTAGCATCAGCAGATACCTTACACTACCGTATTTGTTGGAATAAAAGGAATGCCCATAAAGAATAGACTTGCTCAAGGTCACAGCGATTAAATTAGTGGTAGTGCTGAGATGAGTTCAGTCAGAAATCCAATACCTTAGGGTAAATTGATAGGATAATGAATTACATGATATTAGCCCATTTCAAGAAGGGACCTAGGATCAATCAAAAGTATGTGGGTTTTTGTAACATTTCCTTAAATAAAAGTTTGACTGTTGAATACATGTAAGTGGACATGCTGGGTATTCTTTTTGTAAAGGTTTTTTTTGTAAAAATAGTAACCAGTGACTCCCCATTAGAAAGTCTGAGAGCAATAAATTGGTTATAGCCATGGAGGTTTTGCCATTTGTTTCTGACTATTCGATAACATGAACCCCATAAATTAATAATTTCAGTACATCCATATAAATAATGGTTCCTTTGTGTTGATAATTTTAGGTTAATCTCTTGACAGCATACATACCAAAAGGAAATGCATCCCCATTACTTCTGCGTCATTGCTTTAAAATTCTCTTTCATGAACTGTTCAGCCTTCTGCTGCTTGTCTCTGTGCTTTCTTAAGTTTTTGTCAAGGTGTGTTATGGAGTGCTTACTGGTGTCTCAGTCAAGGAAGTATCATGATTGGTGTCAGATATCTCTTAATTCACAATCTGCTTATGTTTTGCCAGAGCTGTTTTATAATGGCTGCCAGGGAGTTCAGACAACCCATCTCTATGCTTGAGATAAAGGGAGTGATGTGTATATCATGCAGCTGGATGGTCATGTGGAAAGCTTTGTGTTCTCTGGTGAAATGCTGGCAGGTGGAAGAGTAGCAGAATAAAATCCCATGGCTACTTCTGCGGAGCAACATCACTGATAGAACATTATTTCTTGGCTTGACAGTCCCTGATTAGCAGCAAGTCAGGAATACAAAAGCAGATACAGAAAAAATTTCAGTCACCAGGTAAAATTGCACTTTCTGAGGTATTTGTACAGTGGCCATTCTGGGATTGCTGTGACAAGACTGCAAAGAGATTTCCTCTTGGTATGTTAACAGATAGAGATAGACCCCAACTCTTGAAAAATTATTTGTTCTTCCTAAAACAATAAGCCTAGCCAGATCTCTGCTTAATTTTATCTTAAAGTAATATAAACTTTCCATATAGGCCATTTTCTTCTGCAGTGTGAGTCAGAATAAAGATAATCTCTGTATAGGTTCTCTTTAACAGAAAGTATACTGCAAAATAAATTTACACTGTAATTAATACGAACATTAAAAGTTAGCTATGCTGATGGAATGATTAGAAATAGTCTCATAAAAGTTTAAGGGCAGGAAAACATTCAATACATTGACACAACTATGACTCAAAACACATTTTTTATCTCTCCTTCTGCATCTGCTGCTATAACAAACACACTTGCTATGCAATCAACTTTTTTTTTTTAACTTTGAATTTTAGCATGGGCTGTTGTAGCATTGGTTTTGGGGCTCATAGGTCAGGCATATAGTGGAAGATTATGGGAACTTGTATTTCTGCTCATCGATTTCAGGAACTTTTAAAAAACTATCTCTGTTAAGACTCAGCAATAGGACCTAAATATGAAAACAGTCCTCATCTCTTGTTCTGGTGATGCCACTTGCACAGTGATATAGCTTTTACCCAGTTAGGATTCTATACATTTTCAGTTGTAGTCTCCCTACTGGGAGAGGATTGAAGTGCATGCAGAATTAAGAAATATCATTGATTTTAAAGGCAAATGAACACCTAGTATTGGAAGGAGGAAAATTACTTCTGATTAAGATGACCGGAAGCAAGGGATGGCATGAAGTTCCACACAGGTCAACTCAGATGTAGAGAATTGATGTAAGCTTAAAGCAAAGATGATAACGCTAAAGCAGAATTATTTGTTCCAAAATGGGTTGATTACTTTAGGTTGTCAAACAATTTATAGTAAATAATTAATGCATACATATGGATGCAGAGTTATCTGTGCATTAACAGTAGGATTCTTCTGGTTTAAAATGCATAATCCAATAAGATGTAAGGTAGCTGAGCATGAAATGAAACATGCTATGATGTCTACCTCAACAATTGATTATTCCTGAAAGGCATATAAAGCAGCTGGTAGGCAGGATCATTACCATTCTGGCAATAAGGAAACAGAGATGATATGGTTTAGGACAGTTTCTAATGCTAGGAAAAGTACAAATAGTTACGAATTGTGAAGATAAGGATCTGTACTCAGTTGTCCTCAAATCAGCACAGCCATGTAAGCTTGAGTGCAAATTCTGTAAGAGTGGTCTCAGTGCTCAAAGGCACGTTCCTTTCCCTTATTCTCCAGTTTGGGATGTCACAGCAAGCCACATCTTCCTCTATGTCAGAGGAAGGGACAGTGAGGAGCTGTTGGTCAGTCTGAGAAGAAAAGGCTGAAGAAGGAAAATAGTCCTGTTTTATAGCCCAAGAAGGAATCATGTTCCCTGTACAGGCATGCTGGAGCAGAGAAAATCAGTCACTAAAAGTTAGTGATGCTTGGCTAAGAGCAGCTCTTCAAGGGGTTACACCTATCCATATCACCTAAAGAAAGCTACATCTCTCACCTGCATAGGAGAAAAACATCAGCATATTGAACTGAGGGATGGTGCATCTTTAGGTGAAGGATGGTTACCTTTCACAGTCCCAGCTGAGGCTGAGTCCAGATCTAGAGGTTCTGTGGCAGGGAAACTTGAATGGAAAATATGCAAATTTTCAATTTACACCTGTGAGCATAAACATCCAATTTAATCTAAAATGGGGTCAGGTCTGCTCTGTACATGGAGTTATTGTTACAGTTTGCAAAGATTGTGTATGAATTAAGTCATGGAGACTCTTTTTTTCTTGGGCAATAGTAGTTTCAGACAGGAGACTATCTGGAAAAACACAGGAAGAAAAAAAAAAAAAAGCTCAAAATTAGGTCCTTCAGGGATCTCATAAACCTTTTAGAAAACATTTCTGAGCTAGGACCTTTAGTGACATAAAATACAGAAAATTCCAAGATGGGAGATGTCTCTGAGGTGTCATAAGAAGTTAGACCTGATAAAGTAACTGTCAAGGAAAGGTCTCTGTAGACAGAGTTTATTCTTTTTTCTCTAAATGTTTTTTCCTAACTGGTTACTGGTTATTACTGGTTTTATTTTTATTTTCCAAGAAGGAAAATCAATTCTATATTATTCTAGTGATAGAATTCCAAAGGAGAAAATGGTGACTACTAAATTTCAGTCATGAATGCTGAGTGTTATGAGTTCTCTCATTTATGTAAGTGTGAGAAGTGCAAATCTGTATCCTCAAATAGGAAAAGCAAAAAGTCTAAAACCTTTTGAGATGTATTGATGGAAAACAGGAAGATGTTCAGGTTGAGGGTAGGCTGTACTTGAGATAAAAATAGCAAATAAAACAACAGCTAAAGACCATGCCTTTATTACAAAAAGGTGTTTCTAGTTGGCTAGGGCAGCCAGAAGGGCTAAGTGAAGAGTTTCCCTGGTGTTTTACAAAATATAAAAGTCATGCTTGTAATTTGAGCAATGAAAGTAAGGAACACTCTGAACAATTAAGAGGATTAGAGATTTCTAGACACTGCACTGAAACTTTTTGTGAGAAAATATAGAGCTTGGCCTGGGAACTTTAAGAAGTAAACCCTGTTAGTGATATTAAGCAGCCATGTTAAAAGATCTGTTGAAAGAAGTGTATTTTACCTCAAGGAGTCTGTGTTTTGTTTTCTGAAGAGACATGCAGAAACACCTTCTCAAAGGAATTTTTCAGCGTAAAATACAGTGTGTGCGGAAATCTTGTATTTCTGAAGCAGCATTCTGAACTGGTTCCTGGTTCTGGTTTCTGCTTTCTCCTTCTAAGGACCCTCTTCGTTTTTCTCTGCACAAAGCAAAGCTGGCCATATAGCTTTTGCAGGATCTGGCTTGGGACAGTAGGCTGCAAATTTATTGTTCACACAGAAGGTAAGAAAGAACGAGCCGTTTAGGGGGATACTCACTGAAAAAAAATGTTATTCAGTATGGACAGTAATGTTTTCCCCCTTTTTTTTTTTTTTTTTTTTTTTCCTAAAGCTTAGTATGTTGTGAGAGTCCCTACAACCTTTTTGATGGACTTTCTGTTGCACTGTGACAATGTCTGATAGAGCATCTCTTTTGCTGTGAATTCCTTGAACTTACCTTGTCACCCCATCTCAATTATCTTTTGGGCACAATATGCAGTCTGGGCTATTCCTTGTTTTAGAAGCTCCCCAGAGCTTTACAAATGAAAGGAATCTAACAGTTGCCTGTAAAATAATTTTATAATGTATGGTATATAATTTTTATTTGTAGGGGTTACTGTTGTCTACAAAGCTTCACAAGCATCATTTAATTTTTACAGAAATCATTCCATGTGATGGTGAAAAATGAAAAATCCTTTGGCTTTGAAGCCACTGTTTGAGGGTATCTCATCCTAAACATCCTTCAAGGGATTTCTTTGTTCAGGCACTCCAAAATTCACTATTTGTTATAGGAGTTACTGAAGGTTAAACTTGGCGTGAGCATGTGAAGGATTTAAAAGCATAGTATCCTGTAGATGGAATAGAGCAATAAAAAAATTGCGTGATTACTGAATCAATATTATACCATTTCCTGTATACTGAATTCCTTCATTTATGATGAAAATACCTGTCTGTTTACTTCTTATCTTCTGCAAATATCACGCCTATTTTTTTTACCCCTCCTCTTTCTTCCTCCCTTTGTATCTCCTCCCCTGTGATAGAATCAATTGCCTCAGTGGATATTATATAAAGAAAAGTTTTCAGTGGAGTTCCCAGTTCACCCACCTTAGCCACCATGGGGCTAAGAGTTGCCAGCCTTTTTATGCTCTGGCTGGCTCTTTCCTATGCAAATGAAATAAGAAAAGGTAAGCTCTAGAAATTAAACGGTAGCAGATTGCCCCCTGGAAAAGAGGGAGAGAATTAAAATACCACTGCATAGGTAGGAGGAGGCAGTACATTTAAATATCGCACCGGAGTTTTAAGGTGCCTTGAATTTCTTAAACTTTCAAATACTAAGTCTATGTGGATCAGCCAACATATGCAGATACTGCTCTTTGGCGAGATTAGTACCTATATCTACTTCATTAAGCTCTAGTTTGTTGTGCTTGGAATGTATTTTCTGTGCTACTTTTCTTTCCATGTGTTGAGACTTTTCTAGCTATGGCAACTACTTGGCAGAAAGCAGCTATAGGAGTTTGGGAGGTTCATTGTTACAGCAATGAAGAAAGCGGATGATTGTGCCTTCTGTCACTTCGGAATGCATAAATACTTTCTTCAGAAGTGAATGTAGTGACATTGGACAAAGCTCATTTTGTCATTCAGGACATTAATAATCCTTCTGTAAAAGCTTTAATTTACTCTATTTGTGATCAACTTTCTCTGAAGTGTTGAAATGGAGCTCTCATACTGAAAACTATTTTTGGAGGACTAGATGATGAACTTTGTGTAGTGACCACGTTTGGTGTATTGGTCTTGGTCTGCTGCATCTTGAATTCAGAAACAGGAGGAAAGAATTAACTTGCATTTGGTATCCCAGATGTGAGCTCTGGGACAATCTCAATGTAGCCTTCCTTCTGGGGAGAGGAGCATACCAGATTGGCTTGGATGCATCTGGTATGACTGATAGCATCAAAGCACGACAACTTACAGGTCCACTTGATAGTTTTGCGTTCTCAAATTAAACACTGCAAGAAAACCTTGTGAAGATGAGTAGCATGTGTGCTTTTGATACTGTGGCAAGCTTTCCAAGTATGCCTAGTTTTTATATTCACCCCTAATCTACAGCATCTTGAGATTTATCAGATACTGTGTTAATTTGTATTATTTGTTGATATAAATGGCTGGGAAGGGAACAAATATCATCATCTTCATCTTTTGCTATTGCAAAAAAATTATCTTTTTTAAATTTTTTTTTTCTTCTCCTACCATTGTTATTTTCTGACTTATCTTCTGAAGAATTTCTATTCTGTAGTAATAGAAATCACTATTTCTATTAGGAAAAGAAGGAATTATTTAAAAACCTCTGTTGTCCTTTTCATAACATTTAAGCTATTTTCCTTGCAGAATAGGAGTCGTACTTCCTTGGTTTCCTAACTCTGTTTCCTTTCTAGTGCATGTTGCATCGGGGAAGAAAATAGCTCTTAGAAATATTTAATATTGATAAAAATAATACTGCAATTCAGAATAAATTTATATGTTTGGCAGAGCAGCTCCATTGCACTGATGCATCAGCTTGTTAGTGGTCAGAGGGTTAAGTTTCCCAACCTCATGCAGACAAGTTCCTTCACCTCAGTGAGGATTATAAGACATGACCAGGTCTCAGCAGTATTTGTTGATGTCTTATTTTCCATTAGAGATTCACATCTCTTCTGCTTAATAGGCAGATACTTGATCAGGCTTGAGATCTGCGGAACCACTGTGCACATATTTGCAAGTAGTTTCTACTGTAAAATGCAACACTTACCTTTTCTTAATGCTAGTTCATTCATTTCACTTTTTTTCATGCCTTTTTCTTTTTCTTCACTTAACAGGAAGGACAAGAAACCATGGCCACTATGTCTGCAGCACTTGGGGAAACAATCATTTCAAAACTTTTGATGGAGACGTCTATCAATTTCCTGGCATTTGCGAGTATAATTTTGCTTCTGATTGCCGAGAATCTTATAGGGAGTTCTCTGTCCACATTCAGCGTACTCTGAACAGCAATAACCACCCGGAGATTCAGTATATTCTGATAACAATCAAGGACTTTACAGTGTACCTCAAGCCAAAACTGGCTGTGGTGGATGGGCAGATGTAAGTACCTTTAGTATAATAGTATTTCAGAGAAACATGCTGGGAAGATGAAAGCAGGATTGATTCTTTACACAGCTGTCTGTATACTGTTAAGATAACAGCTACAAGCATTTCCACAAGTGAAAAATCTCAATCCTTTGAAATCCAGCATAAAAATTTATTTGAGGAGGGGCTTTAGTATTAATTGTTATTTCTACAGTGGTATAAGGGATGATTTAAATGCCAGTCAGGAAGATGCTTGAGTGACTTGTTGTTCTTCTGGCTGTTCAGGAAACAGCGCAGCTCATGAGCCAGATCTTTCACTGGCATAAAATGACATAGCTTCATTTGTTTTATGGCGTCGCCCTGAGTTTACTTTAGCAGATGATCTAACAAATCCTCAAAAATGAAGATGCACTTCTGCAGAGTCTTTTTCTCTTACGTTGTGGCAGAAGAGAGGTGCTTTTTTCTGAGCTTCATAAATAATTCTTTAAGGTCTGATGGCCATTCCTCAAGGGATTGTAACAGATATAATGCAGGTCAAAATTTACACTAATTTGTACATGGCAATGTGTACCTTTTCACAGTGAGCTGCAGTATTTTTCTCCTCCTGTAACATGGTTGCACAAGGAACTGGTACTGGTACCAAGTAGTGTCTTAACCCAGCCTTTCCTATTGTTAGCCTATCCTTTCACTATGTGCATGTATACGCACTGAAGCAAGTGAAGCAACTCATAGGTTAAGACGTAGTTCTGAAGATGGAAGAAACTGGCTGTTAGTCTGTTTTAGCATAATTAAAAAAAAAAAAAAATCTATTCTATTGTCATCGTAGTACTGGGTTTTGCCCAGAATTCAGCTTTTCCTCTGAAGTTTGGAAGACACTGTGATGAAAATCTGTTCAAAGGCAAAAAATAACATTCAGTTTTCCAAGGATCATACCAGAAATCATTACAAAATTATATGAAGTTATAAAAAATGTATTCTTGCCCCAAATTGAAAAATCCCTTTACTATGTACTCAGGTCTGAAAAAGAACTCAATGAAAAACAAGTTCAAAAATCCTTTTAAAATTGTTTTTCTTAAACCAAGCCTTTTTTTTTTTTTTGTGTTAGGTCTTGTTCATAAAACAATAGATCCCTTCTTAACATGCTTTTGCTGCATGAGGGATTTAGCCTTTTGTAGAACTTAATTTCCAATATTGCTCTTTAAATGAAATATGATCCATTGTTATGTAAAATAGCATTTTACACTGCTGAAGTGAAAACTGTAAAGTAGAAAAATGTATGAATTTGTCCTTTGGTACCTGAGCCACAGATTGATTGAATGTCCCAGTATTAAGAAAAAAAAAAAAATATTACATGCTGTGATAGTTGAAAGGTGAAAAGCTGCTCAATGTTTTATAATCCCTCTCTAAAAACATGATCTCTTAAGGCCTCATTGTCCAGAGGATGAACAATGCAGCCAAAAGTAGAAATAATGGCTTCTGAGTTCCTGCCTAGTATTTAGATAAGTAAGTGATTTGGCCATGTTAAAAACGCCCGAGATAAACAGTTGGAAAAATCCTAGTGACAGGAAATCAGGAGATAACATTCTTCCAGTCAAGAGACTAGTTAAGAGGAGATGTGCCTAAACATATATGAATCCTGATAGGAAACATTTATATTGACAAATCTGTAGAAAATGAACTGGTTATTTCGACTGGATTCCAGTTTACACTACTTCTGTTTGAACAGACTCTAGTTATTTAGATTTTATAGGATTAGGCTGCTTGCCACAATCCCTTTATTGCTGAATGAAATCCAGCAGTGTGGTTTGTTACATAGCACGCTGTAAGACAGACATACAAGAGCAGGAGGGAGATCTGGAGAATTGATTCCTTATCAGGCAAAACCTTTTATGCTCAGCCTTCTGCAGAATATCTTCTATCACACTGATATGCCTTGCTGTCACCATTAACAAACTTGGTCCTGCCAAGCTTAAAGCAATGAACTACTGAAGCAAACTACTGAATTCCTCTTACCATGCTCCTTTCTTTTCAAACTTTTGTTGGCAGTCCCTGTATCTGCCTGTGCTTTTCGAACTCTCTCTTGATGAGGAAGATCCTTGCAAAGGAATATTCATTCTCTCTGAAATGGCTGTCAGATCATTTGTTAAAGAAGAGCTTCTATTTATATTGCTACTTCTTTCTTGGAAGTAAATTTTTAGTGAGTGTTTGAGTATCCTCTGTTAATACCATAATGGTGATGGATTTTCCTTTGATTAAGTTGAAGAAATCTGACGTTTTGGCTTGTTTCTTAAAGAACTTATACCCTTGGGGAGGTTTTGCCTTTGAAATTCGTTTGCTTTTTAAAGGCAAGGAGTTAATATGTGAAGTGTCAGAGAGGATTTTGTGCCTCATTAAAACAAGGTATCCTGTACAGGGAGAATCAGGTAGACAGAGACTGGCTTCTCTATTCAATAGGGTATTTGGCTTATTACAGACATTCATGTCACCTCTTGTGTTTCTGTACTAATGCAAAGTCTCTGGTTTTCTTCCTAGTGTGAAAACACCTTACTACAGCTCTGGTGTGCTCATTGAGAGCGATGACATTTACACTAAGGTTTATGCCAAATTAGGCCTGAGTCTGATATGGAATCAGGAAGATGCACTGATGGTATGTATGATCCAAGTCTTTTTTATTGGCATTTCAAAAAAAAAAAAAAAAATAGTCCTCTGATTTCAAAAATACTTTCCTTTCCATCTTTATTACCATGGTGATTACTGCCATCATTGAAGTACAGGAGCTTCAGTCACTTTCTTCAGTTTTCTGTGTTACTTTTTGCATCTGTGTGCTTATTAACTATGTTACAAATCCATTTGCAGTAGCTACTTCCCTAAGAGTTTTGCGTTCACCATCATTTCTGTCATTTAGTGACTTCATTTTCGAGGAAATATATTTTCTTCGGAATGTCTTCATACTCTAGATAATTATTTTCTGATTTTTTTTTTTTTTTTTTTTCTATTACCTAGGTGGAGCTGGACAGCAGATTTAATAACCATACATGTGGTCTCTGTGGGGATTACAATGGAGTTCCAATCTACAATGAGTTTATCAATGGAGGTTAGTCATCCCACCATACCAACAGTTATCACAGAAGATAGGCTGATAAGCATTATGCATAGGAGTATCGCAGGAGAGCAAATTTCACCTGGGACATTACTGTGATTGCACCAGAATAAACATTATGTTCCAGTGCTGCAGTCCTGGCCTAAGGTTATTTTATTCCAGATATGAATCATCTTGTTCTTTTCTCTACTGGTCTTCTTTTCCCATTACCACTTTAAATTTTTGAGCTCACTTAGACATAATAGACTTAATTCGGAGCAGACACCTGGGACTGACAGGCATATTTGATGTTATAACAACTGTTTTCTTTGATTAGTAGAGTTACAGGAATCAGATGCTCCTTGCTGTCAATTTTTGGGGCTCAGCAATTCCTCTTTGTAATTTTTTCTCATAGTTACAAGCTACAATGCAATTACATATGGGAATTTACAGAAGATCAGCAAACCTAATGTCAGATGTGAAGATCCTGACGAAACTCAGGCTCTTCCAAGCTGTAATGGGCATGTGAGTATTCCTAGTGGTGAACTTCACTTGCAAAGGCACTTGGAGACACCCTTATGCTACAGAGAGTCAGTGTGTGAGGAGCTGGGAAGACTGTCCCCTCCAGGTTTCTTCTCCTTTTCTTGAATAATTGTTGCTGTTCAGAAGACAACAGTTTTTATGAGAAGACAGGAAGTGTCTAGAAGCTCAGGTGCTTACGAATCTCTCAAAATATTATTGTTCTTCTTCCTTAGCGTGATGAGTGTGAGAGGTTGCTGACTTCCTCTGCATTTGCTGATTGTCGGTTACGCCTTAATTTGGAAATATATATCCAAGCCTGCATGCAGGACAAGTGTGCATGTACTGGAAATGAGGACTCCTTCTGCCTCTGCAGCACCATCTCTGAGTATTCTCGCCAGTGTTCACATGCAGGTGGCCGGCCGGGTGAATGGAGGACACAGTACTTTTGCCGTAAGCAGCTATATAAATTTTACAAAGAAACAAGTAGCACTGTGAAATATTTAAATGAATTCCTTCTTTGCAAAACTATAGGAATATATTATAAACTTCATACCAGTAGTTCAATAAACTGCATACAATCTTCTTCCTGTTTTCTTTTTCTCTGACCTTCATTATTAAGAAATCTCTTTCAGCAAGTAGAAATTCTGTTCCCATTAAAAACTTTGAGGTCTGATTCTGCATATGACTGGGATAATTTGGTCTATTTGAAACAAAAAGAAGAAAATATAAAAAGGAGGGAAAGCAGTTCAGAAACAGACAAACGTGCTTTGCCAGATGGAGTCTGGCTTGGGACAGCACTGACTTGAGGGGAGTAGGGGATATGATCTGTGGTTTCTCAGGAATGATGGACTTTACACTCAGATAACCGGTGGTGTTTTTCTCATTCTTTCAGCCAAGACCTGTCCTAAGACCATGATCTATAGAGAAAGCAGCTCACCCTGCATGGATACTTGCTCACACTTAGAGATCAGCAGCCTTTGTGAGGAGCACTACATGGATGGTTGTTTCTGCCCTGAAGGCACGTGTTATTCTAGCTATTGTATATGGAACAAGATCAAGAGCTCTGGCAAAGGAGGTCATGACTAAAATATCAAAAGTAGTCAAATTATATCTTAAAAATTGGTATTGTTACTTATTAATTTTCCCCCTAGAGGGACGAATAATAATTAAGTTCCTAGGGGAACATAATTATAAAGGTTTTTAAAAAGGAGATCATAATTGATTAATCAATCAATGATTTTATGGTTAAAACATATCAACACAATAACAGGTAATAAATTTGCTTTTTACTTCTCAACAAATGGAATTCTGCTAAAATATAGAAAATCATGTTTTTTAAGAAGAATAATTCTGAGACAACGGACATAATTTGCTCAGAGAATGGTAATGAGGGACAGTGAGTGAAATTCTCAGACTTACTGTCAACCTTAGGAAAAAACATTACAGTGATAGTCTAGAGAGTATGCCGGGAGGACTGAAAATCTAAACATAGAAAATTCTAGGATTGTTCTTGTATACTTATATTACACTTTTCATCTGTGGTTAGTTATACAAATGGATAAGCTTAGGTTTTAAAAGCTGGATAAAGGTGTTTTCCATGTGTCTTATACTACAAACAATAGAAACACTATTCTTCACAGTTTTGATAATCTCAGCCTATGCTTTCTATGTCACATTGAGAGCATGCCTCCTCTGAGAACATCTCCTCTGTGGAAATTGCTTATTTCAGAAAGAGCTGGAATAGTTTACTGTTGTGCTTTACAGGAACTGTGTATGATGATGTTGCTGGAAAAGGCTGCATACCTGCTAGCCAGTGCCACTGCAAACTCCATGGAAAGCAGTATTCACCCGGAGAAAGCATTACCAATGAATGTGAAGAATGGTAAGGATTACAGCTGTTCATACACCTTTCTTTGAGTAATTGTAAATGGGTCTGAGTTTTTCAAACTTCCACTTAGTCATAGGATACTTTCTGAAAACATTCTGAATTTGACTTTTATGTTACATGTCTATACAAACAATTTTCTGAAAAGTCTTCTTAAACAATTTTCTGAAAAGTCTTCTTGTACCTGTGGCAGAAGAGAAATCTTAAGGAAACGGTCAAAGAAACAGTTTTAAAACATCTGGGGATATCTTGCTGTTTGCTAGGTGTACAGATGTTTTCGGTGGTCTCAGGTCCTGTAATATCTACAAGCATTTTTAAATTATTTGTCTGTTTATAGCACCTGTGATTCAGGCAGATGGACGTGCAAAGATTTACCCTGTCCAGGCACATGTTCAGTGGAAGGAGGTTCCCATATCACCACCTTTGATGGGAAGAAATACACCTTCCATGGAGACTGTTACTATGTGTTGGCCAAGGTACTGTGGGATTTTCTCTTGTAGAGTAAATACAAGTGTCTGTGTGCTGACATGTAACAGCTGTGAATTGTTACTGTTTTCCATTTTCATGGGATGAGGGAAGCAAAAATGCTAAAAGCTGTACTGGAAAATTCAGGGTGTAATAACCCAAGGTGGAATTCGACCACTTACTGCAATGGGTAGTTAACTTAGTCATAGTAGGCTATGTATTCAGTCATTATCCAATGGAGTCCTTCATGTATAAGAAATCAAAGGATCCCTCTGGCTGCATGGATAAGTAGACTGCAAAAATCATTAGTTCTCGGGATAAGCAGCTCTCAGCTGGATCTGTAATAGCTGTTTCTGTGTCTGTCAGAGTCAGCTAGGGAAAGGAACTAGGCAGCTATTTCATTCACATCTCCCTAAAATAACTGGTGCTTGTTCTTCTAGAGAATGACAAAGATCTTGTTGAACTAGAAAATATACCACTGAGTTTATTTGAAAGGTCTTTCAGCTTCCAGAGCCAGTGCTGAAATGGTGGTCTTAATAGCTAAATTCTATAGTAATTGTTATTGTAACTGATGACTCTAGCCTTTCTTTTGGAAATTATCTTTTGGGATTTTTGATTTGACTAATGGACATGTATTTCCCTGTGATTGTAGGGTACTGTAAATGACAGTCATGCTCTCCTGGCCGAGCTGGCTCCCTGTGGCTCCACAGACAGGCAGACGTGTTTGAAGACTGTTGTGCTGTTAGTAGATCACAAAAAAAATGTAAGTGTTCTGTGGGTTCTTCTAGATATGTTGAAAATGATCATGAGATTCAAATAAGCTAACATTTTCCCCTCTTCCCTTCTCTGCTCTGTGCTATATGATTATTCCCACTGTATTCCAGGCTGGCTGGAAATAAGAGTACCATTCTTCCTCCCCTCACCATATTTTACTTTATTCACATATAATTTCAGAGATCTAATTGAGTCTTTTTCAGAAGAGATCCCATTATTGAATGTTGGTACAATCCAAAGTTCTTAAATACTTATATTTTCATTCCCTTGAGTATTCTGTTTGGTTATTGGAATATCTAGACTATATTTATACATGATTTCACATACATGTACACTTAATTTCCTCTCGTGTTTCTGGTCTTCTATGTCCCTGCCAGCATAAGTAGAACAAAACCAAACCAAATCAGAAACCCATCATTTTATGTTTCTGTATGTATAGATGAGTATTTTATGAGGAAGCTTGCCAGAATCATACTAAATCATTAAATTGAAGGTGCGGCACATGCTTTTACAGGGAATAGGAACTTTCTATAGAGCCTTAAGGCCCAATATTTTATTTTACTTGCTGAAACCAAAGTGCCTAATATAAAAGAGCTTTGCATTTCATTACTGCTATAAATTGTTGTAGGCAGGTGTAAGTGAAACACTGAGTAGCAAGATGAATCCTTACTTATATCCTACAGGCCTGCTGCCACATTCGATTTTCAGACAGATTCTTCCGTTCAAGGATTTTAAGTTCTAGTCACAGTCTAAATGTGCAAAATGTCTCCCCTCTTATTTTTTTTCTTTTTGTTAGTTCCTTTTCCTCTCAGTGCCTGGAACCTCATTGATTCTATTTGCTATTATGCAGGTGGTGGTTTTCAGATCAGATGGCAGTGTGTTACTGAATGAGATGACAGTGAGCGTGCCTCATGTGTCAGGTAAGGGACATAGCCTTGTGTGTCGTGTCACACACCTGACCTTGTGTGGGGATGCACTTTTTCAAGGCAAAAGTGGAAGAGAGGTATATGAAATTTGTTCAGATTTTGGAACACCTTGGGGATGAATGGAATTCAATGGTTGCCACTGAGAATTTCATGGGCAGACTGACTCTGTATACAGTGGATGACTGAAAAAAATGTCCCTTCAGTTTTTTCATACATCTTGAATGTTCTTCAGCAAGTATCTTACAAAAGAGAAATTGTCATAGCTTAAATTCAAAGCAGATAACTTACCCATCTTTATAGTCAGGTTGTTTAGTGCTTTCCAAGTCTGGCTACATGATGTGGGCATGTCCTGGCTCTCAGGCATGGTGAGGCTCAGGCATGTCTACTTCTTCCCCATATGTTTTTTTCTCCTGTGGGAAAAAAGCCTAGCAGAAGGCAACTGCTGTATTTTCTGGTCAACTGGGGCAGGAAAGAAGGATGTACTGTGTAGCATCATTTCATCTCCCAGCTCATTTCAGACATCAGTATCTTTTTATATAATCAGTAGATTTAGACAGACACTTTCAGAGGCTGACTCAGATCACTTAATTTAGGAGCCTAAATTATGGTGGAAGGTCACTATCAGACAGCAGCTGCGAGCTCTAGGAATAACTTTTGAAAGGAATGTAGAACTTCTCTTTATCACTCAATTTTAGATATATTCAGTCATCACACTGACACAATGTGTTGCTTCTTATTTACTGGCCTATTTGCAGATGGCAAATTACTTGCAAGAAAGTAATTCTTCATCTGAAAGATTATCATTTGTGGGATGATGCACTCATGAATGCTTGCACAAAAGCAATTACAGTGTGTAGCTGGAGGTTTAGAGATTTGTTGTAAGAAATTGGTTAGCCAGTAGATATTGTTTTATTAGACTTTAGCAAAGATTTTGATACTGTCTCTCAGAGCATCCTTCCGGACAAAATGCCCAGCATACAGCTAGACAAGTCCATGATATGTTGGGTGAACAATTGGCTGATGGGCCAGGCTCAGAGAGTTACAGGAAAGGAGGCTACATCAGGCTGGCAGCCAGTCACCAGTGGGGCTCCCCAGGGCTCAGTCTTAGGGCCAGCACTCTTTGATGTTTTTATAAATGGTCTGGGTGCAGGAGTCAAACGTACATTAAGTAAGTTTGCTGCTGATGCTAAACTGGGAGGAGCTGTGGACTCCCTTGGGGGCAGAGGCCTTGCAGAGGGATGTGAATAGACTGGGGAGCTGGCAATCACCCACTGTATGAACTTTAACAAGAGCAAGTGCCAGATTCTTCACCCAGGACGGGGTAATCCTGGTTAAACATCCAAACTGGGGGACAAGAGGCTGCAGAACAGCCCCGCGGAATGAGATCTGGGGGTGTGGGTTGTTGGTGAGTTGAATAGGAGTCAACAGTGAGCCCTGGCAGCCAAAAGGGCCAACCGTGTCCTGGGCTGCGTCAGGCCCAGCATCACCAGCCAGTCGAGGGAGGTGACTGTCCCACTCTGCGTGGCACTGGGGCGGCCCCGCCTCGGGTACTGGGTGCAGTTTTGGGCACCTACATAGAAGAAAGTCATTGAACCATTGGAGTGTGTCCAGAGGAAGGCGGCCGAGATTGTGAAAGAGCTCAAGGGCAAGACTTGTGAGGAGCAGTTGAGGTCACTTGATTTCTTCAGTTTAGAGAGGAGAAGGCTGCAGAGTTCCCTCATCGCAGTCCACAACTTCCTCAAGGGGGGCAGCAGAAGGAGGAGGGGCTGGTCTGGTCTCTCCAGGGACATGAGGAAATGGAATGAAGCTGCACCAGGGGAAGTGCAGGTTGGACATGAGGCAAAGGTTCTTCACTGAGAGGGTGGTTAGATACTGGCACAGGATCCCTAGGGAAGCAGTCATGGGACTGAATGTGTTCGAGTTCAAAGAGCGTCTGGATGGTGCTCTTAGTCCTATGGTTTAGTTTTAAATAGTCCTGTGAGGAGCAGGGAGTTGGACTCAGTGATCCTTATGGGTCCCTTCCAACTTGAGATATTCTGTGATTCTAATTAGGAAGCCTTGTTCCTCCACTATACTGGCTTTGTATGTCAGTTCTGCTGATTTTTCTATGATGGATTGATTAACTCATGTATAAGAGTCTAACATTTTATTATTAGTAGTACTTAGCTATGTATTAGCTTGTAGAGACAAGCCTATTACTTATTTTATGCAACAGTACTGGGATAATACTTTCTCAGAATACCTCTTGCTCTTCAGATTGCTCAGCATTAATGAGTTAGCATTGAAGCTGTATTGCAGAAAATATGAATTTGCTTCTGATCCCAGGGATGGGTCATTATAGGTAACCAACTTGTTAAGTTAGTGAGGACCAGCATTGTATCTAGATGACCAGTGATTTTTAGAGGAAAAAAATTATTAATTTGGTCTTGATCTCAGAGTTTTCATGGCAGGTGTTACCTTGGAATCTAATAAGAAATGTTTCTTTCAGCAGCCTATGGTGTGTGTTTACTGCACAGGTCATGTTCTGTTTTTCAGCTAGCTTCTCAGTTTTCAAGCCATCTTCCCACTACCTCGTTGTACAAACTTCTTTTGGGCTTCAGCTGCAGATCCAGTTGTTTCCAGTCATGCAGCTGTTTGTGACTGTGGATCAATCAGTTCAAGGAAAACTTCAAGGCAAGTGTCTATTCAAACGGGAAGCAAAGCCATGCTGTTGCACAGCTGAAGAGTCATGTATTCTTTGCATAAGGGATAATTCGTGCTATTTATTGACCCAAAATGAGGAAACTAAAAGCAGAAACCAAAACATTGGAAGAAAATTGACTCAAACAAACTAGAAATACATTTTTATTATTTCATATTGAAGTGACCTATCACTCCAGTGCCAGTACATGAATGTTTCTTACAATATTCCTTACTTCTGTGTTCACTTTTAATTTTTAACTATCCACAAAACCAGGTTTTTGGTGCATTTTGTGGTTTTAATATCATCAGAAAACATAAAAAATACAGGTTAGGGCAGTGATCTCCTGAGGCAGAAATATCTTCATAAAGATTATTATTTTCAAGAGGTTAAAGATTTAAAACAAGGCTCCTAAATCTTCAGTACTCATAGCGTGCATTAATATCGAGGTGGAATAATCAGCTGTATGAACTTCAGTTTCTAATGTTTGTCATCAGTTGTCCCTTTCCCTTTGACCTTTTAAAATGAGAACGAGTAATAAGTAGGTAAAATTTTTACCTTCTTTTTCAATAGGTCTTTGTGGAAACTTTAATGGAATGGAAGGTGATGACTTTAAAACAGCCTGTGGGCTGGTAGAAGCCACAGGGTCTGCCTTTGCTAACACATGGAAAGCTCAGTCCACCTGTACAGACCAGACAGAGAATCTGGAAGACCCCTGCAGTCTCAGCATTGAAAGCGGTAAGCACACTAAGTCAGATGGTTGGCTTCTGCCAGAATGAGCAGCAATTGCTGTATATTACTGCCACAGGTGTGTAAGAGCTGTAGCGTAGCACTGAAGTTTTTTAGAGGACTGTCAAATGAATAATTTCTGCAACTATGTATATGTATGAGCACTGATTTCCCATCAAATTGAAATGAAAGTTTAGGAGGTGATTGTAGAGGAATCCTGAGCTGGAAGGTTCAGAAGCAAGGTCAGTAATTTATATTATCTGCAAAGGCAGATTGTATTTCCTAGTATTATTTATCCCTATGTTTAACTTAAATTTATGGTTCCCAGACAGAAAGGGCTGTCACATTCCATGTAGACAAGCTGAAGCAGTAAGATATGATTTTTGATTTTATGATTGTATGTCTACTGCTAGATAACTGGATCAGAGAATAAAAATATATGTACAGTGATTGCGTGTAATTTCTCCACTTCCCAAAGTGCACACAGTTCTCATTTGTATTGTTGCATTGCAATTATGTGACAACATAACTAGACATGGCACAAAGAAGAAAAGTGAATATAATGAATGTAATGATATAATTTCATCATTCTCCTTTTATTTTTTTTTTTTTTTTTTTTTTTTTTTTCTTTTCAGCAAATTATGCTGAGCATTGGTGTTCTTTGCTGAAAAACCCAGAGGGTCCTTTTGCAAGATGTCACTTAATCATTGATCCTTCAGAATACTATAAGGTATTGTAATCTTGTATCCTTTTCAATACTGCTTTATTTCAGATGGATGACTGTAGACATTTATCATTCTTCAAATATTTGAGACATTACTGAGTAGCTTGCCCATAAGAGCTGGTGAAGTTTTTGCAGTGATTAACTGAGGCAGCATAACATGCATCCAAAGTATCTCCTATGATGAGATTCTTATGAGGTGCTGCTGAAGAAAAAGGTAAATTAGTTCTTTGGGTTTGTTATTTTTTGTATTGAATGTACGTTTTTATTGGGTTGAATATTTGAACTGGAAAGATGATTCAAGAGATGCAGGTGTGCACAGAAACCTTAAGGTTACTCTTACACATTAATTGCTATTAAGTCGGGGAGAAAAAAAAAAAAGTAAATATTTATTAAGTTTCCTGTATTGGTTGGAATGAAACACCAAATAACTTTCATGCCAGAATCTCTGTGGTTTCTTTTCCCCCTGCCTCTTTTCACTGTTGAACAGTAAGTGAGGTTAACCTGAGCAAAAAAGAAGAAATTATTAAATTTATTTCATACCTGTAACTCAGTCTGAGTTCAAATTTTGTGAAGGTCTCTGAAGATCTGGTTAATACTTTACCATTATGATTTTTAATTTTTATGGATCTCTGCATTTCTAAGTTGTAACTGAGAAAGAATGGTATCAAAATCCTTTAAGAAAGGTGCTGTTAGGAGGCTGACTACTTTTTAAAGCTTCAAAAGACTTGGCCTAGATCAGGATAAACATCCAAACTTTTTCATTGTGTATGAAATGAAGCAGCACTTTCAGTCTCTGGCCTTTGTCCATTCCTTCCTTTTTATTCTGATTGTGGGAATTAATAAAAACAGGATCAGAAAAAGGACACAGGGTACTTCATAGCAACTGACTTACAATTGCCCATTGGTTTCCTGTGGGCTTACCGAGCCTTTTATTCTTTTTTCAGAAATGTAAATATGACACCTGCCTCTGCGAAGACAATGAAGAATGCTTGTGTGCTGCCCTGTCTTCTTACTCAAGAGCTTGTGCTTTCAAAGGGATCATACTGGGAGGCTGGAGAAAAAGTGTCTGCAGTAAGCAATGGAACTATAATTCCCATGGAATTAATTAGCCACGAGAAATAAATGGGTTCCCTCTGAATTTGTTTGTTAACGATCTAAGTGTTAAGGGATTTAGAGTATTTCAGAAACTTTTAATGGACCTAAAGGAGGCAATGCTGATAATGTTTACTAACTTATGTTATATTCTTTAGCTGTCGTTTCTTCATGAAAGATTTAAAAGTAGAAAACAATATTTTTCACTTTCACCTTCTTTCCACAGTTTAAATAATAATGCTGGTTTTATCTTTGACTAATGGAATCCCAGCTATAATAGTTTTAACATTGTCTTTGCTTATCAGTGTCTTTGTTTATCATTGTGCTTCCTTTTCAACAACAGTACAGTATTGTTGAGACTAGGATTTTATTATATAGTGCTCTCGCTCTGATTATGTGAAACAAATACAGCTATGAAAATAGAAACTGTTCGCAGAAGTTAAAAAGAAGTCTTCATCTGGTAAATAAAGTTAGGCTAGCATTACTTGTGACTTACAATATTTTTGTACTTTAATAAAATTTAAGGGAGTGTTTTTACCATTAGATGCTGCACAGCCAGAGAAACTAAAATGGAAACGTGAAGGTTAAATTGTCCATCCTGCATCCCTTATTTATCAGTTTGTTTATTTTCCCTCCAGCTAAGGAAGTGTCTGCCTGCCCAGGAAATCAAATCTTCCTTTACAATCTTACAATGTGCCAGCAAACCTGTCGTTCCCTTGCTGATGGTGAAAAACATTGCTTGCAAGGCTTTGCTCCTGTGGATGGCTGTGGCTGCCCGTATAATACATACCTGGATAACCAGGGTACCTGTGTACCCATCTCCAAGTGCCCGTGTTATTACAAGGGATCATACCTGGAACCAGGGGAATATGTCACAAAAGATGGAGAACGTTGGTATGTTTTATTACGGATTCTTGCTCATGAGATAAAAGCCCTTTTAAAATTAGCTTATTAGGTGTAAACGGCTTAGCATATTTTTGTGCTTTAATGAACATCTGTGATATGTTTCACAACATCTTCATGCTGAGCAATCATCATCCTGTAGAAATGTAATTTATTAATAATTGAGGAGCGCAGCTTTGTTTGGAGGTGTGAGTACTGGCCTTCACAGGTAAATGTTCTTCTGAAACTGCACTGTTAATAGGGCAGAGGGGTAAAAGGAAGATAAAAGGCCAGCTATAATGTTATGTTGCTATTTCCTTTTCTGTTAGAGGTGGGTTGCTTGTGTTTTCCACTGTAGGAAGGTCCCCCTGATACGTATTTACTGTAGCATAGGCATTTGAAAGTAACTTTCACAGGTCTGGTATTTTTTATCATGAACTCTGACAACTGTTTGCTGTGTGAATCATCAGTGTAAACTGTGAAATCCTTCCTTCTCTCATCTGGCAGATGAAGCATACAGGCCAACAAATTTGCTGTGTATGAGTTGGATAGGCATGAAAATATACTTGTGTATCTAAATGAAGGCTTTGATTTAGAATATCATTATTATCTGTTTCCTGAGTCATCAAAAAGCATAGTACTAAGTATTAATAGAATAGCTGTCATTCCTTAAAACATAACCTTTTCTCCAAGTGAAAATTCATGAGTGTACTTCAGTAGAGTGTACCTTGAAATATCTGTAGAAATTATGTAGAACCTCTGTGATAAATACTCTCAAATCTATATAAATCAGTCCTTAGATTACACTGAAGACACTGAGATGACTTTTTTTTTTTAAATTTTTACTACTTCACTTCTTTTCTAGTGTTTGCCGAAATGCAAAGGTCCAGTGTACTTCAGTGACATTAGGAATGAAACGTAAGTGGCAGTCTATAAAATAAAATAAAATAAATACCATAACTGAACCTTCAGACCCAAACCTACACTTTCAATTTGAATTCTCCACTTACTTGTTTTGTGTTTTGCACGGGGTTTTTTGGTGTTTTTGTTTGTTTGTTTGTTTTTGTTGTTTTTTGTTGTTGTTGTTGTTGGTTTTTTGTTTGTTTGTTTGTTTTGTTTTTCCTTTATGTGAAACAGTTATGCATTTTCACTTTCTTCTGTCTTCACCGAGCCTCTTTTTTTCATAAGGATATACATACCCTGAGATTTCTGTCTTGGCAACAATAATCTTTCACACACACTTCTTTTGCCTTTTCTTGATAAATCTAAATGAGCAATGTATCTTTCAGATGCAACAGAATGTTCTCCTGACAAGATGTACTTTGACTGCAACACATCCCCAAAGTGGACTTCACAAACACCTGTACAACTCAGCTGTCATACTCCTCAAACTGATCATGTATGTGTCCAATTTCTCCCCATGTTGTGTTTCCTTTATTCATTCTGTATGCTTTAAATGTGACACAGTGCAGCACAGAAAATGAAGTTGTAACAGTCTATTTCTCTTTGGTTTAAGCTTCTTTTCTTTTCTCCCCAATGATATTACTCTGACAATTTCATGATGATTCCATTCCCTTTATGGTTTCCCTCTCCTTTTTCTTTTTACTATGTCTTCAGTAGAGTAATATCTCCCAGGCGAAATATGATTTGGGTTCTTAGACAATTAAAAACTAGAAGGAAAAAAATAGAAATCTAGGAAGAAAATCTTATAAAACTAATAAATATTAGGTTGTTTGGTTATAAATGCAGTTTTTACCAGAATGCTTATGAAGAAGTGGAATTAAAATGCAGTGCTTCTTCATAAAATGACAATTTCTCCTTATATTCCTTAGTTCCAGGCAGAGTGTGTCTCGGGCTGTGTATGTCCTGAAGGTCTCTTTGATGATGGTAAAGGGGGCTGTGTTGAGCAGAAGGACTGCCCTTGCATTCACAACAACCAGTGGTACTCTTCTGGACAGAAGATAACAGTGGACTGCAACACCTGGTAAGTTATAATTTTGTATTCTCTTCTAGAGTGTATTCTCTGCAGTAAACTAATAACCAAGTCTAGGCTTAAGTACTACAGTGCCTGTCATAGCTGCAATTATAAACCTTTATTTTCAGGCATAATTTTTGTTATCCGAGGAAATACAGATTCTGCTGAAAATATTGAGGCAATAGCTACCTCTGTTTTCAGTAGACAGTTCTTATCGGGAGAGTGCGCTCATTTTTAAAATATAAATACTACCAGATCTAAAAACTTTATCTGGCCAGACTTAAAAATCATGTTATAGGCTTAAAACCAGGCTAAACTATTGAAGTTGAAACTTAAGACACTCTGTAACACTGAAATGGGTACTGTGCACATTATTGCGTTGTATCATGTAGCTTCTTGGTTTGTTCTTCAGTTTCCCAAAGAGCACGGTCTTGGTGGGATCTGAAAATTCAACTCTTCTGCTCTCTTCTAGTACCTGCCAAAAAGGGGCTTGGAGCTGCACGGAAGATGTGTGCTATGGGACTTGTACGATATATGGAAGTGGCCATTATATCACCTTCGATGGAAAATTCTATGACTTTGATGGGAGGTGTGAATATGTGGCTACTCAGGTAATGCTCATTGGGAGGGCTGAAATGGCATCTGATTGACTAAAGATCTACATTCCTCTTCGGTTTTGTCATTCCTTATCGCCTGTGACCACTGTTCCTGCCAAGATAAATTCTGTAGTTTCAATGCAGGCAAGCTGTGTGAATGTTGTTTTTTTTTTTTTTTTTCTGATTCAGCGGTCGTAAATTGTATGCAGCAGGACTACTTTATAGTGAGAGCTAACAACTAATTATCAGTTGTGAAATAAATGAAAATTCTAAGCATACAGGACAAAGATATTTATATTTAAAGATATATTCCTCATTTTGTTTTGTTATCCCACTTGTTTCCCAGGTTTTGCCACACATGAGACTGTCTTAACCGTTTATATGTATGTAGGGATATATGTGTATAAGTTCATGCATCTGTAAAAATATATGTATGTAAGATTTCACATATGAAGCATTTGTAAAATGTGGAGATTCATATTATTGTAATTATGATGAGATTAAACTAAAAATTAAATATTCTACCTAATTATCTTATGCTTATTTTTTCCTTTTTCAATAGGATTATTGTGGTGACAGAAATTCCAGTGGCTTGTTCAGTATCATCACAGAGAATGTCCCTTGTGGAACTACAGGAGTCACCTGCTCTAAGGCTATTAAAATGTTTCTAGGGGTAAGTAATGATGCTCAGTGAGTATATCTCAGTATTCAAGTATTGCAAAAAATGTAATGTTCCAAAGGCACATCCATAAAAGCAGCTATAACGAATTAAGTTTAGAGGCCCTATCAAATTAATCTATAAAGGTATAGATTCTCAGGTACTGAAACCTCACTCAAACAAAGGTGCTATGCCACTTATTGTCATCTTGGAAAATCATCCCAGACTTTGAGCTACTGGTTTCAGAATGAACTGTAGTGTTACGAGTGCCTAATATTTTATCTCACAAAAGTTAGTGTTATAATATTTCACTTCTTATCTTTCAGAAAACTGAACTGAAATTGGAGAACAAAGATTATGAAGAAGTTCAGCGAGATGTTGGTGATGATGTGCGTTATTGGAACAGGACTGTAGGCCTCTACCTCGTTATTGAGGCTAGCAATGGTGTGATGCTTATTTGGGATAAGAAGACTACTGTTTTCATCAAGCTGACCCCTGATTACAAAGTTAGGACCTGTCTGTCTTTTTTTTGTAGTAGTAGTATGAATAGATAAATGAAATAAGGAAATGTAAATGTTCTTTTATGATGACTCTGCACTTAATTCCTATATCCTCTGCACATTGATCATCAGCTTGCATTATTACTATTATGGCTTGCAAAGGTGCTACTGGAGTTCCTTACAGTCCATCATAATGCATTGCAGAGGATGCATAGCATATGATTGCAAAAAAGCTAAATGTCTAAGGCATTCTGAGCTTGTAAATATTAAGAGCCAAGCATCCAAAGTATTTTAAGGGATGAGAACTGACTGTAGATGCACTTGGAAACCTGCATGGAATCTCAGCTCTGAGTTAAAGCTGAATTCCCTGTGCAATGTATGGAGATGATAATGATTTCTGAAAATCATCATGCTGAACTATAGAGTACTGAATTCTTTGGGCTGAATGAGGAGGTGCAGGGTTGTCTAAACAGGGACATACTGTTGCTTGAGGGGGTTGATGGACTTTAAATAGCACTATCGTAATTTCATTATTGTGGGTAAGTTGTTAAATTCTTTCTTTTGAGAAAAATGAGTCCCTGTAATTTTTTTTCCATGGATGAAGAAATGGTGCTCATTATGTTAGAAGCTTTTAATAAAAACAGTTTTGAGCAGAATGAAATTCCCCCAGGCTTACATTAATAGCTGAGTTATGAGAAGAATGGAAAATAAATTAATTCTCAGCTGAAAAAAGCTGATGCACTCTTTAGTGTTATAAGTTGGATGAAGGGCCACCACAGAGACATGGAAACACACTAGACATAATTGGTTTCACGGAGCGAAGTCATGGCAGCTGAATAGTTCACTGAGTACACAGACAAATAAAGGTTTAATTTCTGTACAAATGATTTGGAAGTAAAGATGAAAGTACGTCATTTACACATGGAGTCAGTTGTCCTTTTCAAATGTCAGTGTTTTGCTCTTACTCAAGTAGAGTCTGTTTCTCACTTCCATGGTATATTTAAGAGCTGTGGATTTAAAAGCTGTTAATTTTCTTTTCTAGGGCAAAGTGTGTGGTCTGTGTGGCAACTTTGATGACAAGTCTAACAATGACTTTACAACAAGGAGTGGGGTGCAGGAGACTAGCGCTCTGAAGTTTGGGAATTCCTGGAAACAGTCTTCCATGTGCCCAGATGTCACAGAAGAGATTAAACCCTGCGATATGAAACCACATCGGAAGTCCTGGGCAGAGAAAGAATGCAACATCATCCGGAGTGGAGTCTTTAAAATCTGTCACTCTAAGGTTTGTAGATGGGACAGCACAATGCATTTCTGCTACTGCAGAAGCAGAGACCATCAGAAATGGATGAAGAAATGGTTAGAGTGATTTTTAAATAAGTCTTCAGAACAGCTACAGGTGTCAGCACTTTTCAGCTAGTCTTAGTCAAAGTAGTTTGGGTATCTGTGGCTACGGGACTGTGTCAGGAGTGGTGCCAGCCACAGCTGTACAAGCCCATATTCATCACCACCGTCTCACTGCTACTGCCACGCAAGCTAGCTTCATAAATGTAGTCTGAATAGTTCTGTGTGTGCTAAACAGGTCTACGTTGCACCATGTCTTGTTGAGACTGTCAGTACTTTAAGTTCTAAAAGGCCTGGCAACCAACAGACCCGACTTCTGACAGAAATGCATACTGCACTTGAAAGGTGACTATCAAAGACACCGCTGCTCCTTGTAATATTCAGCTCGCAGAAGGGATCTTCTTAGAAATCACCGACATTGTGCAGTTTAGAGAGGCTTAGCTGCTAGTACTGAGCCTCCAAACGGCCACAGTATACACTAGGTCAGGCCCCCAGCGTCCAGACCACAGTGAACAGAAAACACACCTCTCTACTTCTTGTCTCTTTCCTGAAACATGGTAATATAACAATTATCAGGTTATATTTCTGTTATATTATTTATAATAGGATATAACTGTTCTTAACTCACAGTGGAAAAGTCACAAAGAATTACTAATTTAATTGACTTAGTATGTGTTTCTATGTTGATTCCTTCACCAGCTAAAATCCAGTCTAAGTTTCCCCTCTTGCAGACCCAAGCAAAATAATGGAATTTTTTTGCTGATGTGTCATTGGATAAACTCCAAAAACTAAGAAGCACAAAATTATCTGCTTTGTATTTGCTGTGAAGTGCAGCTTTTCTGATATTACTCACCACTTGTTTGGCAAAGCTTGCTGGAAGATAAGACTTTATTGGCATCGATCCAACTTGATTTTTGAGAGCAGTAAAACGGAGCTCTGTTAGAAAATGTGGACACTGCCAAAGACTCTTATTTTATTTTTTCAGTCATAGCAAATTATGAAGGTACTATATTACTTTAAGTCTATTATTATCCAAAATATATTCAGCAGCTTCAAATCTATAATGTTTGTCTGTGATTTGGTAATTCCTAGAAACAGTCTCATTCCTGCCCAGCTCAAATCCCATATGTCAGGAGATCTCTCAAGCGTACTAGTTTGAAAGCTAATTTGGAGTTGACCCGGGGCATCATTTCTTTCCCCAACAGGTAGACCACCATCCTTTCTATGAAGCTTGTGTTCATGATGCCTGCTCTTGTGACAGCGGTGGAGACTGCGAGTGCTTCTGTTCTGCAGTTGCTGCATATGCCCAAGAATGTACCAAGGCTCAGGCCTGTGTTTTCTGGAGAACTCCTGATATATGCCGTGAGTAAAAGTTAAACACAATGGCATCTTTCTGGCTGCTGTCAGAAAGCCTGTCAAAGAAATCATTAATACTATCACTGCAAGGTTGTGCTGGCTATCCAATGTAATTTATTTTTGCAACATATCAGGGAACAAACAGAACCAGTAAATTTGTGTATTTCAATTATCTTTTATTCAGCCTGGTTTTCTTTCTTCTTCTTTTTAAATTTCTTCTTATTTTTTCTTTCTTTTTTTTTCTCTTTTTTTCTCTTTTTCTTTTTTTTTTTTTTTCTTCTTTTTTTCTTTTTGTATTAAGGCTAGGTTTCAAGTCACCCTTCCATTTTGCTTGATAACAGGAGTTGCAGTTGACTAATTATCTTTCTCCACTATCATTTTTTCAAATTAATCAGAATTTGATTTAGCAAAAATATATAGAAGTACACCTGTGTAGATGAACCTAATCAGTGTTGAGCACATTAAACAGTGTCCATTAGCAGTGTTAGTGTTCATGGCGTAGTGGTATGAGATAATGTAAAATAATATTTAAATTAATATTCCCCCCAAAAGTGTTCAAATGAAAATTTTGAGATTCTAAGTGGCAGAAATGTAAAATTTTTTTAGTTTTGAAAATTCATTCTGATTCAGAATTAAGGCTAGTTGTAGTTTTTAATTTAAGAAGTCAGTGAAATAGAATTTACAAGTTTCGGTCAGCTCTGATATATAAGTTTTTAAAAGATCCTTCTACTGTCCATAGTCATCCAGCTGAATTCTGTTTTAACTTGTATCCATAATGTCTCATATTCTTGCTCTTAGCCTGCAGGAAATGACTCTCAGCCCAAGTGATATACCAAGACAAGAACTAATTTGAATATACCGCAAGAGTATTTAGGAGTTTGCTTGTAGCTAGAGAAGAAAAATACACTCAGAAATTTACCCTTAATGTTTAGAAATCAACATTAATTCTTTATTTTTTTTTTTTTTTTTTGCAATTTGAGTCAAACATTTTCGCACTGCAGCTTGAGTGCTTAATATGAAAATCTTGGGCTGCAGCGTTTTGACCCCAGATTTTGATATACCCTGTGTTTAAGTATAGTAGAAGAAAGTCCAGGTCCTATACTCATGATTAATCACCTTCTCTTTTATTTTTTCTCATCAGCGATATTTTGTGACTACTACAACCCTCGTAATGAGTGTGACTGGCACTATGAGCCTTGTGGCAGTAATGTCACGACCTGCAGGATGATTAACAATGTCAGCACCAACTTTACAGTACCATACCTGGAAGGTGATAAATTCTTTTGCAATTTTGTATTTTATGCATATAACTTTGTACAGATATCATTTAATAAATATGGAATAATCCATAGATGTTCCTAAATCTGTTACGTTGAATTTGTTTCCAGCCTTACGTGTATGTTTCCTATAATGTAATTTATTATTTATTAGCATTGGTAGGTGATGGTTACATTATTGACAGTTATAAAACTAGGTCTCTGCTTGGATAATATCCTGAAACATGCAAGATGATTACATTATTATTTTGTATGTCATCTTAAGGGCATTTCAAGAGAAGGAAAAGCTTTTACATGACAAAGAATAAATTTACTGATAGTTGAAGGTTTTTAACCTTATCATTCTTTATGCATCAGATCCATCTTGACTTTATTAGATTAATGTGCAGCATCCTCCTGTCTTTACAATGGAAAATATCTTTAATGTCAGACACAATGACGCTGCTGTATGTTGGATTTTTAGCAGACACCACTAAATGTTTTCAGAGGGCTATTGAGAGCTACCTCCGTTTGTAGTGTATTTCATTTGTAGATATGATATTAGTAGGTGAAAGTCCTTGTGCTTGATAACCAAAAGAGAATTTCATGTCATAACTGCATTGCATGACTGCAATGATCGAAGAATATGAATGACTTTACAAACATCTTTTGTTTTACCACATGATAAAGTTGGAGAAAACAGTCATGATTTTGGCCAGACAGTCCTTTTGGTCTGGACTGGAAGCAATTATCTCCAGTTTAAGCATTGGAAAGAAATGCTGAGAGTCTGACTTTGCTATTTTAATCCTTGAATGCTAGTAACAAAACAAAACAGAAAAGCCCAAACAAACAAACAAACAAAAAACCCCAAACCCACCAAACCTAACCAAAATGTTACCAAAAAAAAAAAAAAAGTCAACTCTATGTTTTAAAATAGATTGTCTTAGATTATTAGAAAGATTTAGAAAGTGTCAGAAACCAGATTATTACATATCTAGTTTTCTTATTATCTTTCTAAATTACTTTTGGTTTTTATATTCAGTGGAAATATAGAGCACGCTTACTTTTGTTAGGACATCTTTAGTACAGTTGGGCAGTATGAAGTGACTTTTAAGTACCAGTTATTTACATGGTCATTCAGTTTATAGGTTATTTAGAACTCCATTATAGTATAAAGAGGATTTTATGTAGTGAAAAACCTGTTTGTTAATGAATCTACTTCCATATTCTTCACAAAAGTATTACTGATACAGTGATCACATTTCAATATCTATAGAAAAATCAGGATGTTTCTTTGTCTTAAGATTACTAGCTGCTCACAGAAATTAATATAAATTAGGGCTTTCTCCAAGATCTTGAATTGGAGAAAACAACTTCCCTAGTTTCCATGACTAAACTCTTATTTGATCCTCCTCACCCTAGACCTATCAATGAGAATTGTGTAATTTTAAGTCTTTTGGAAAGACTAATTGTCCAAGGATTAATTTGCATTGGACATTTTCAATTTCTTTCACTATGCTTGATTCAGTGAGAATCATTTACCTTCAGAAGCTATCCTATCATTGATTTAACTCTCTATGCTTTTTTTCTTTACCCTGTATATTGTTCTATTTCTCATCAACAGGTTGCTACCCCAGATGTCCTCCAGAGAAACCTTTTTATAATGAAGCGACAAAGGAATGTGTGCCTGCAGATCAGTGTTGGTGTTATGTCAATGGAATCCATGTTCCCCCTGGGAGTGAAATACCCACAGAAGACAACTGCACAAAATGGTATATAAAACTGTAAAATCATCTGCAGTAATTCAGGAAAGAATTTATGTATGCTGAGCCCTTCATTTACTTTATTTAGTCTCAAGAAAATAGAGAAGCAACTTCAGCTGAAGAGCTGGTATATTCTAGCATTTATCTATACAAATCAGAGGAACAATGCTGTTTATTCCAGTTGAGATTTAAACTCAGAAAATGCTGCATGTACAATACGTATAGATTCTAAACTTTTCATTCATAATTTTCCAAACCCATAATAATCCAGATTTCAGGTTGATAGTGTTGTTAGAAGTGTATTAGCAAATTCATTAAATATGGTCTTCAAAGTGTATTAAATAATACAATGGCATGAAACCTGGGTGTGTCTCTAGAACAACCTTTTGATTCTCATGGCTCTTTGGGAAGAGAGGGTCTACCGTGTCTCGCATTCTCATTTAAAACTGGGATTTCAAAATCACTGTAACCTGAAATGATCTGTATTAACCCTGAAACTGATAGATGAGTCCTAATTGCTCATTTCTAGAGCCTTACTAATGATAGCACTGACATCTATGACTCCACATGGTGACCAGAGACAAAAAACTCCTGATCTAGCTATAAGTTCACTGCTCTGAAAAACAGTTGTTATTATTGCATTATGGTAACTTGGAACACAAAGTGGTTCATGATAGTTTTAAGATGTACTTAAAGAAGGAAAGCAATGACTTAGTTTGAATGAAATAATGATAGGCAATATTGGAAAATATTACACCCAGAAAAATATCCAGTAGTATGATTGAAGATCAAGTGACAGATTTCTACATTTCTGTGCTCTTGACTGTGCTAAAAGGTGCCATAAAACATCTGCAACATTTTAATTTTTTAAAATTTTCTTTTAGTATCTGTGGCCCCTCAGGATCCATACAGTGTACACCAATCCCAGGTAAATAACATTTGCGGTTTTCTACAAAAAAAATGTATGGAACTGCTACGTCTGTCTCTACAAAAGACTCAGTACTGATTTGGAATAATTTTTTCCAGTGCTAGTTGAAGTTGTGGCCAAAGAAATTTGGGCATCACTTTTGTTGAACCTTGCTGTTAGTACTTCTTGTTCAACCTTTTTCTCATGTCCCTTTATTCTTCCTCTGCATGCCCCATACCCAAACTAATGGATTTCACTACAAGAGTTTGTACTCCCAGAACCTGTAGAGAAGTCTCAGATAGTAAATTTCAGTTGTTATTTCTCTCAGAACATTTTAAAACCTGGTTTGTAAGTCTGTTCTTCCAAGTGTTTTATGAAGGGCTTTATTAAATATGTTTTAATGTACCTCTAAATGTAAAGATGAATTAGTGCAATGTATTAGATCTAAGCTTCAGGTATAGCTCTAAAAGCTGTGATGCATGTAAATGCTTACTTGTCCATAAATACTTTGCCTTTGCCTCTTACCAGTTAGAAAAATTTCACAGTAAAGCTCTTTTTTTGCAGGCTGTCCTTGTGTCATCAATGGAACAAGTTATGAAGTGGGTGAAATTGTGGCACAAATACAGGATGGTGACATATGTATAACATACATTTGTGCAGAAAATGGTTCTATAGTTGTTGGAAGTACTTATCCTTGTCCAACATCTACTTCACCTACAACCATTTCAACTACCTTTCCTACCAGTACTCTTACCACCACAGGTAAATCTTCAACAGAGATATTTTCTTTAAGGAAAATATTTTAAAGATAGAATTATATGGGCTTGTAGTTGATGCAGTTAGAGTGATATTTATGAATAGTTTTATCACAGTACACTAAGAAAGATTAACACTTCGAGTTGTAATTTCTTCTATGAGAAGTAAATCAGCTATAGAAATACAGGATGCCTTCCTGATTCTGAAAAACATGTTAGCACCTCAGTATCCTGCTGGGATAGTATAAATTGCCTCAGTAGTCTCAGCAAAAAAATATCATTAGGGTATTTAAAACTATTATGATATATTTTTTTAAAGATTGCAGATGATGGAGTAATTTCTTTTTTTTTTTTTTTCTATTTCAGTTACCACTACAAGACCTCCAGTAACTACAAGTAAGTTTTAAATAGAAAACTAAGTTGTTAAAGAACATCAAAGCAACATTTAAAGGAAGAGTAAATTAAAGATGGCCACTACAGAAAAATTTATTTAAAACAAAGATAAATATTTTTTTTTAATTGTGAAAATGTGATAAGTGTAGAGAGAAGAAAGACCTTTAAAGGCTTCAGCTTGGTGATTTTGTTTTGATGTGATGCTTCCTGTTGAAAAACCTCATAATAGAAAACCAATTTTAGAACTCTTCTTTTGGAAAAATGACAAGTTACAATGCATTGCTCTAGTCCTTAATGAAATAGAAGACGAAATTAATCTTCTCAGCATGTTCTCTTTAAGCTCAGATGCTGAATCTCTGTCTTTTCTTGCAGCTCCATGCTTTGCATTAATCTGTAATTGGACTGAGTGGTTTGATGTTAGTAACCCTGAGGAAGATGGCGGTGACTACGAAACCTATGATGCAATAAGAAATGAATATGGAGACAAAATATGTGAAACCCCTGAAAATATCGAATGCAGGGCTACAGATGAGCCTGATATGAGCTTAGAGGAACTTGGCCAGAAAGTAGAGTGTAATGTTACATATGGACTAATCTGTAAGAATGAGGAACAAGATCCAACTATGTGGCAACTTTGCTATAATTATGAAATCAGGGTAAATTGTTGTGAGTGGCATGAAATTTCTTGTGAGACTCCAAGTACAGTGAGTCCAACACCAACTTCAACAACCGTCAGCACAACAGTACCCATCACTACTACAACCAGGCGGCCAACAGCAAGTACCACCACACCCATACCTACCCCAACCATCACAAGTGAATTCACACCATCAGTCACCACCCCAGGAACTTCAACCTCTCCAGGTATTTAGCAGACCAATAATCTCTGCTCTTGTTTTGCCATAGGGTAAATAAAGGGCTGTTGGCTGCTAAAGGCATGTCATCTCCATAGCAGATATTGAGCTGGCACGGAGTCTTACTTATGCTGGTTTGGAGCTCTATCCTTCTTCTGGAGAGGAGATTCCCAGAACAACCTGTTGTATGAGATTAGAACAGGCATTGATACAGAGTCCCATCATTTTAGGCATTGTCTGGGTGGGGCTGTGCAGAATTCCATCTCTTTCTTCTCCTGCTTTCCCTTTGTCATTGCTAATGTTTCCTGTGGTTATGGATCTAGGAAGAAAGGATTCCCCTGGCAGGTTTTCAGGAAGACTTTCACTCTGTAGGCTGCCACTTGCTGTGAACTGTGGTCTTTGGCTGCTGAGGCCCACTTGTACTCTGTTAACCTCTTCATCAGGCCATGGAGAAATGACGTGACATTCAGGCAGGAATGTATTCCCGTGCATACTTCCTTCCCAGACAATAGCTTCCCCTCTCAGTTGTTACTGCAGAAGTCAGCAAGGTGTTCTAAGTAATACGGAAGAGATAGAAAGCCTCAGAGAGCCTTACTTCTCCTCATGTCTTCACAACTGGTAGGTATTTTTGATTTAGTGAGAAGTATGTTGCAGAAACATTGCTAGTCTCCCTGCGAGGAAAGAATTGTCATGACCCTGTCTGTGCACTTATTTGGAATTAGTCTGCTTTCCAGGGACAGAAAAGAAGGCCTAGTGATGCAGGCCTTTACTGTGGTAAGAGTGGTCTGTCTGCTATAGATTTCTGGCAGCTACCTAACATGTAAATTCTATTCAGTGTATATTTTGTCCCACTGATGAATCTTGCAACTTTGTCTGTTTTCTCTGTCCCTGTTGTTTCTAACAGCCCCACCATCGTCCACAATGAGCACAGTGTCGTCTCCACCCATATCAACAACTTCTCCCACGCCAACATCATCAGAGCTGCCCCCCAGCACCACCACCACCTCCGCGCTGCCCCCCAGCACCACCACCTCCGCGCTGCCCCCCAGCACCACCACCTCCGCGCTGCCCCCCAGCACCACCACCTCCGCGCTGCCCCCCAGCACCACCACCTCCGCGCTGCCCCCCAGCACCACCACCTCCGCGCTGCCCCCCAGCACCACCACCACCGCGCTGCCCCCCAGCACCACCACCTCCGCGCTGCCCCCCAGCACCACCACCTCCGCGCTGCCCCCCAGCACCACCACCACCGTGCTGCCCACCAGCACTGTGATGCCGCCCAGCAGCAGCACCAGCAGCATCCTGGAGACAACGACAACCGTTACTGGCACACCAGCACCCACCCCAACTACTGTGAGCACATCTGTGCCCACGCCAACATACACCACCACCCAACGACCTATAGGTACTTGTCTGGTCTGTGGTCTCATGTGTTGCCCTGCTGTGGGAAAAATTAAGGCCCGTGAACACCTGAAGTTGTACTTGTCCTGCTCTACCTCATGCATTGTCCTTATTTGAGAGCTTTTCCACCCAAGAAGCCCAGTACAGCAACGTGCCCTAGCTGTGAGGGAGACACACACACGTCTCGGCAGTGCCTGCGTCCTGATTTGGCCCCAGTATGCTTTGTAGGGCCAAGAAGGGGCAGTCTGCCCGCACAAGGGAGCTTTACTGTGGCCGGGGTTGGCTGGCTGGTGTGGCACTGCCCCAGGGACACCCAGAGCACCACCTGCGAGTGTGCTGGTGCCCTGGCTAGTTGTTTCTGTTCTGGCTGTTTCTGACTGTTCCTCTTGTTGCTCTCCCTTAGACTGTGAATGCGTCTGGACAGACTGGATTGATGTGAGTTACCCAGATAGTTCTGACAGAAACAGTGGTGACTACGAAACCTTTGAGAATATTCTGAAGTACAACTCCTCCTGGGTCTGTGCGAAAGCTGAGAATATTTCATGCAGAGCGGAGCGATTCCCTCATGTTCCCATTGAAGACTTAGGGCAGAATGTGGAATGCAGTGTTAACACAGGGCTCATCTGTAACAACAGTGATCAGGTCATAGGAGGTATCGTACCAATGCCGGTCTGCCTCAATTACGAGATCAGTCTCTGCTGCGTCCCCGACATACCAGAGTGTTTTACAAGCACCACCACAGGCACCACGACAGTCCCACCGTCGCCCACAATGAGTACAGTGTCCTCTCCGCCCATATCGACAACCGCTCCCACGCCAACACCACCGGAGATTCCCAGCAGCACCACCAGAACCACCACGATGCCTCCGAGCAGCACCAGCACCAGCAGCATCCCAGAGACAACGACGACTGTTCCTGGCACACCAGCACCCACCCCAACTACTGTGAGCACATCCATGCCCACGCCAACATACACCACCACCCAACGACCTATAGGTACTTGTGTGGTCTGTGGTCTCATGTGTTTCCTTGCTGTAGGAGAAATGAAGGTCCCTGAGCACCTCAGTTTGTACCTTCTGTATGGGATCAGGGGTGGGAGTAATTGTTATGCATTCCCTGTAAGGCCATGTGCCCAAAGCTAGACCTTGGGCTGGATCTTTCTGAAGTGAGGAGGGTGCAGGGTCCCTGGGTAGAAGGTCTTGTGTTCCCTGACTCAATGAGACTCCCAGGGGTTGTTCACCTTCTGCTGCTGCCCAGCTTAGACAGATATTGATCTGATGGGAAATCTTGCTTTTGCTGCTGTTGAACCTCGTCCTTCAGCTGGAGAGAGTGTACTCGGTGGGCGCCATGGTGTTGCAATGGGAGCGGGGCCTGGCTTTGTGGCACTGCCACTTCAGGCACTGTTTGGGCACAGCTGTACTTGCTGTCCTCCCTTTCTTCCCTGGCATCACCTCTGTGGCCATTGCTGCCACTCACCTGCAGTTCTGGCTGCAGGAAGCTCTGAAGGTTTTCCCCGGCAGGGTTGAGGGAAAGTTTCAGACTCTGGGTTTCCCCTTGCTACACACCCAGGTTCTGAGCAGCCAGGTTCTCCCAGCATAACCACGAGTGGTTTTCTCCATCCACGCACATGCTGTTGGGAAGCAAGCTGATGTTTTGGCAGCAGTGTGTGTCCTGAGCCTGCTTTCTTTGTGGTCATGACCCTTCCCAGTGTTTGGTTCCTCCCTGAGATAGTGAGGTGGTGTCAGTGCCGCAAGAAGGTGAGGGAATGGTGATAGTCCCTGCTTAGTCCTGTTGCACCTCATGCATTGTCCTTATTTGAGAGCTTTTCCACCCAAGAAGCCCAGTACAGCAACGTGCCCTAGCTGTGAGGGAGACACACACATGTCTCGGCAGTGCCTGCGTCCTGATTTGGCCCCAGTATGCTTTGTAGGGCCAAGAAGGGGCAGTCTGCCCGCACAAGGGAGCTTTACTGTGGCCGGGGTTGGCTGGCTGGTGTGGCACTGCCCCAGGGACACCCAGAGCACCACCTGCGAGTGTGCTGGTGCCCTGGCTAGTTGTTTCTGTTCTGGCTGTTTCTAACTGTTCCTTTTGTTGCTCTCCTTTAGACTGTGAATGCATCTGGACAGACTGGATTGATGTGAGTTACCCAAATAGTTCTGACAGAAACAGTGGTGACTACGAAACCTTTGAGAATATTCTGAAGTACAACTCCTCCTGGGTCTGTGCGAAAGCTGAGAATATTTCATGCAGAGCGGAGCGATTCCCTCATGTTCCCATTGAAGACTTAGGGCAGAATGTGGAATGCAGTGTTAACACAGGGCTCATCTGTAACAACAGTGATCAGGTCATAGGAGGTATCATACCAATGCCGGTCTGCCTCAATTACGAGATCAGTCTCTGCTGCGTCCCCGACATACCAGAGTGTTTTACAAGCACCACCACAGGCACCACGACAGCCCCACCGTCGCCCACAATGAGTACAGTGTCCTCTCCGCCCATATCGACAACCGCTCCCACGCCAACACCACCGGAGATTCCCAGCAGCACCACCAGTATCACCACGATGCCCCCCAGCAGCACCAGTATCACCACGATGCCCCCCAGCAGCACCAGTATTACCCCGGAGACAACGATGACCATTACGGGCACGCCAGTTCCCACCTCAACTACTGCAAGCACATTCCCAACACCAGTTATAATCACCAAAACACCGCTGCCTCCGACTTCAGAAGCATTAAGTAATTTTCTGGCTGTGTTGTCATTTGTTGCCTTGCTTGGGAGAAGTCTAGGGTTATTGGCAGCTTACTGTGTGTCTTAATTTTTGTATTCTGAGGGAGTGTAATTGATGTAGGTTTCAAAAAAAATGATAGAATTGGAGAATAATTTGGGTTGGAAGGGACCTCTTTAAAGATCTTTTAGTCCAACTGCACTGCTATGGGCAGGGACATCCTTCTTTATATCAATTTGTTCACAGCCCCATTCATCCTGTCCTTAAATGCTTCCAATACTTGGACAACCGCAACTTCTCTGGGAAACCTGTCCCAGTGTCTTTTCAAACTCATCATAACAATTATTTTCCTTATGTTCACTCTAAACCTACTCTCTAGTTTAAAACCATTGACCCTTATCCTGTAACTATGGGCCTTGGTAAAAAGTCTCTCTGTCTTTCTTTTAAGCCTCCCTTATATATTGAAAGGCTGCAATAAGGTCTTCCTGAAGCCTCTTCTCCCAGTTGAATAACCCCAACTCTCTGGGACTGTCTTCATAAGGGACGTGTTCTATCCCTCTGATCATTTTTGTGGCCTTCCTCTGGACCCTCTCAAACAGTTTCATGTCTTTCCTACTACTGGGGACCCCACACCTGGATGCAGTACTCCAGGTGGGGTCTTATGAGAGTGGAATAGAGTAGGTCCTCCACTGAGCTCTCCTTTTAGAAAGTGCCCATCTTTCTGGTTCTGGGTTCCATTCCTTTGGTTATTTGAAACATTAGGATTTTTTCCTTCCTTTTACCTTTTCCATCCTCTGCCCAGCTTAGACAGATATTGATCTGATGGGAAATCTTGCTTTTGCTTCTGTTGAACCTCGTCCTTCAGCTGGAGAGAGTGTACTCGGTGGGCGCCATGGTGTTGCAATGGGAGCGGGGCCTGGCTTTGTGACACTGCCACTTCAGGCACTGTTTGGGCACAGCTGTACTTGTTGTCCTCCCTTTCATCCCTGGCATCACCTCTGTGGCCATTGCTGCCACTCACCTGCAGTTCTGGCTGCAGGAAGCTCTGAAGGTTTTCCCCGGCAGGGTTGAGGGAAGGTTTCAGACTCTGGGTTTCCCCTTGCTACACACCCAGGTTCTGAGCAGCCAGATTCTCCCAGCATAACCACGTATTCTCCAGCCATCCATGCGCTGTTGGGAAGCAAGCTGACATTTTGGCAACAGTGTGAGACCGCTTAGCATCCCAGTGAATCTGCTTCCACAACAGTACACCATCTGTTCCCTTTTTTCCTTCTGAACATGAGGGAGTTTGTCAGTCCTCACCTAACTGTGAATTAATTTTAGTTGAAGGACTGTCCTTGTGGACTGTGTGGGCAGAGGCAGCGTATCTTACTTTCTCCTATCCTCCAGGATTAATACTGCATTCTTGTTATGTATGCAGTGCTTGTCTATCTACCATGTGTCTCTTACATCATGCTGTAAAACCACAAAAAGATGGCTCTGAGGCTGTCCTCTGAGTAACGTGAACAATTTATAAAATACTAATCAAAACCTGTTTTAAAGGAGCCCACATTAGGGCTCATAATGAAAACTGGCTTGGTCATGTGAGAAAGAAAAAGCAGAAAAGGGATTTTAGGTTTCCTAGCATGCCAAAACAGTTTGTGGGTGAGTAGTCTTAAAGGCCAGGCAGTTAGGTATGGAACACAGATTGATCCAGAAACTGCTGAGTTTGAATAGAATCAAATGACTCTGAGCATAGTAAATGCTGGGATGATGATGCCACAAGAACAGTGATGTAGGGAACAGTGGCCTATCCATAGAATATAACATGACAGCAATACAGAATTAACCAAAGAGTTCGCTGATCAAGTCAATGAATTCCCATGGATTTAGGTTTGCTGAAATACTCTATGCAGTATAAAGTTTTAACACTACAGATAGCTGTTGTATCCAACATTAATCATTACTAAAGTGTTTACATCAATATCTCCCATGCAAGACATAGATGTTTAAAATAAGGCCTCTGTTATGCAAAAGCCATTAGTAAAAGAGCTCCTGCTTCATTCCTCTATGAATAAGTTATGCTGAAGTTTTGCTGAATATCAGTTATAAGAAAATGACACGAAGTTAATAAAAAATGTAATTTACCAATGTAAAATAAAATATTATGTTTTTTTCCTGTCTTAAAGAGGAAACAACAACTCAACCAGAAACACCGACAAAGACGACTGCTACTGTTACACCTTCAGCTACTCCACTGCCAACAACTAGAACGACAGAAATAGAAAGTACAGTGTCTACCATAGGCACTACTATTCAACAAACAACACCCTGGGTATCAACGACCCCAGTGACAGCCACCACCTCCGGAGTCACTGAAACAGGATCGACCATCAAAACCACCCCCTCAGCACCTACACCCACACGACCCACTCCCCACAGCACCACAGGAGTAACAGAAACGACGAGCCATGAGACCACTACCACCGGGACTGGGAGCCCTCCTACGGGATCGCCTACCGCCACCGTCAGCACCACAACCTCACCACCGTCTCCCCCAATGTCTACAGCCAGCACTCCTGCATCACCACCAGTGGTATCAACGACCCCAGTGACAGCCACCACTTCTGGAGTCACTGAAACAGGATCGACCATCAAAACCACCCCCTCAGCACCTACACCCACACGACCCACTCCCCACAGCACCACAAGAGTAACAGAAACGACGAGCCATGAGACCACTACCACCGGGACTGGGAGCCCTCCTACGGGATCGCCTACCGCCACCGTCAGCACCACAACCTCACCACCGTCTTCCCCAATGTCTACAGCCAGCACTCCTGCATCACCACCAGTGGTATCAACGACCCCAGTGACAGCCACCACTTCTGGAGTCACTGAAACAGGATCGACCATCAAAACCACCCCCTCAGCACCTACACCCACACGACCCACTCCCCACAGCACCACAAGAGTAACAGAAACGACGAGCCATGAGACCACTACCACCGGGACTGGGAGCCCTCCTACGGGATCGCCTACCGCCACCGTCAGCACCACAACCTCACCACCGTCTTCCCCAATGTCTACAGCCAGCACTCCTGCATCACTACCAGTGGTATCAACGACCCCAGTGACAGCCACCACCTCCGGAGTCACTGAAACAGGATCGACCATCAAAACCACCCCCTCAGTACCTACACCCACACGACCCACTCCCCACAGCACCACAGGAGTAACAGAAACGACGAGCCATGAGACCACTACCACCGGGACTGGGAGCCCTCCTACGGGATCGCCTACCGCCACCGTCAGCACCACAACCTCACCACCGTCTCCCCCAATGTCTACAGCCAGCACTCCTGCATCACCACCAGTGGTATCAACGACCCCAGTGACAGCCACCACTTCTGGAGTCACTGAAACAGGATCGACCATCAAAACCACCCCCTCAGCACCTACACCCACACGACCCACTCCCCACAGCACCACAAGAGTAACAGAAACGACGAGCCATGAGACCACTACCACCGGGACTGGGAGCCCTCCTACGGGATCGCCTACCGCCACCGTCAGCACCACAACCTCACCACCGTCTTCCCCAATGTCTACAGCCAGCACTCCTGCATCACCACCAGTGATATCAACAACCCCAGTGACAGCCACCACCTCTGGAGTCACTGAAACAGGATCGACCATCAAAACCACCCCCTCAGCACCTACACCCACACGACCCACTCCCCACAGCACCACAAGAGTAACAGAAACGACGAGCCATGAGACCACTACCACCGGGACTGGGAGCCCTCCTACGGGATCGCCTACCGCCACCGTCAGCACCACAACCTCACCACCGTCTTCCCCAATGTCTACAGCCAGCACTCCTGCATCACTACCAGTGGTATCAACGACCCCAGTGACAGCCACCACCTCCGGAGTCACTGAAACAGGATCGACCATCAAAACCACCCCCTCAGTACCTACACCCACACGACCCACTCCCCACAGCACCACAAGTGTAACAGAAACGACGAGCCATGAGACCACTACCACCGGGACTGGGAGCCCTCCTACGGGATCGCCTACCGCCACCGTCAGCACCACAACCTCACCACCGTCTTCCCCAATGTCTACAGCCAGTACTCCTGCATCACCACCAGTGGTATCAACGACCCCAGTGACAGCCACCACCTCCGGAGTCACTGAAACAGGATCGACCATCAAACCCACCCCCTCAGCACCTACACCCACACGACCCACTCCCCACAGCACCACAAGAGTAACAGAAACGACGAGCCATGAGACCACTACCACCGGGACTGGGAGCCCTCCTACGGGATCGCCTACCGCCACCGTCAGCACCACAACCTCACCACCGTCTTCCCCAATGTCTACAGCCAGCACTCCTGCATCACCACCAGTGATATCAACAACCCCAGTGACAGCCACCACCTCTGGAGTCACTGAAACAGGATCGACCATCAAAACCACCCCCTCAGCACCTACACCCACACGACCCACTCCCCACAGCACCACAAGAGTAACAGAAACGACGAGCCATGAGACCACTACCACCGGGACTGGGAGCCCTCCTACGGGATCGCCTACCGCCACCGTCAGCACCACAACCTCACCACCGTCTTCCCCAATGTCTACAGCCAGCACTCCTGCGTCACCACCAGTGGTATCAACAACCCCAGTGACAGCCACCACTTCTGGAGTCACTGAAACAGGATCGACCATCAAAACCACCCCCTCAGCACCTACACCCACACGACCCACTCCCCACAGCACCACAAGTGTAACAGAAACGACGAGCCATGAGACCACTACCACCGGGACTGGGAGCCCTCCTACGGGATCGCCTACCGCCACCGTCAGCACCACAACCTCACCACCGTCTTCCCCAATGTCTACAGCCAGCACTCCTGCATCACCACCAGTGGTATCAACGACCCCAGTGACAGCCACCACCTCTGGAGTCACTGAAACAGGATCGACCATCAAAACCACCCCCTCAGTACCTACACCCACACGACCCACTCCCCACAGCACCACAAGAGTAACAGAAACGACGAGCCATGGGACCACTACCACCGGGACTGGGAGCCCTCCTACGGGATCGCCTACCGCCACCGTCAGCACCACAACCTCACCACCGTCTTCCCCAATGTCTACAGCCAGCACTCCTGCATCACCACCAGTGGTATCAACGACCCCAGTGACAGCCACCACCTCCGGAGTCACTGAAACAGGATCGACCATCAAAACCACCCCCTCAGCACCTACACCCACACGACCCACTCCCCACAGCACCACAAGAGTAACAGAAACGACGAGCCATGAGACCACTACCACCGGGACTGGGAGCCCTCCTACGGGATCGCCTACCGCCACCGTCAGCACCACAACCTCACCACCGTCTTCCCCAATGTCTACAGCCAGCACTCCTGCATCACCACCAGTGGTATCAACGACCCCAGTGACAGCCACCACCTCTGGAGTCACTGAAACAGGATCGACCATCAAAACCACCCCCTCAGCACCTACACCCACACGACCCACTCCCCACAGCACCACAAGAGTAACAGAAACGACGAGCCATGAGACCACTACCACCGGGACTGGGAGCCCTCCTACGGGATCGCCTACCGCCACCGTCAGCACCACAACCTCACCACCGTCTCCCCCAATGTCTACAGCCAGCACTCCTGCATCACCACCAGTGGTATCAACGACCCCAGTGACAGCCACCACCTCTGGAGTCACTGAAACAGGATCGACCATCAAAACCACCCCCTCAGTACCTACACCCACACGACCCACTCCCCACAGCACCACAAGAGTAACAGAAACGACGAGCCATGGGACCACTACCACCGGGACTGGGAGCCCTCCTACGGGATCGCCTACCGCCACCGTCAGCACCACAACCTCACCACCGTCTCCCCCAATGTCTACAGCCAGCACTCCTGCATCACCACCAGTGGTATCAACAACCCCAGTGACAGCCACCACCTCTGGAGTCACTGAAACAGGATCGACCATCAAAACCACCCCCTCAGCACCTACACCCACACGACCCACTCCCCACAGCACCACAGGAGTAACAGAAACGACGAGCCATGAGACCACTACCACCGGGACTGGGAGCCCTCCTACGGGATCGCCTACCGCCACCGTCAGCACCACAACCTCACCACCGTCTCCCCCAATGTCTACAGCCAGCACTCCTGCATCACCACCAGTGGTATCAACGACCCCAGTGACAGCCACCACCTCCAGAGTCACTGAAACAGGATCGACCATCAAAACCACTCCCTCAGCACCTACGCCCACACGACCCACTCCCCACAGCACCACAGGAGTAACAGAAACCACTGCAACTCACAGTACTCCAGCGACTTCAACTGCTGTCATCACCACTACTTCAGGACCATCCTCCCTAGAGTCTACTGCTAGCACTCCTGTATCTCTGCCATCAGTATCAACTACCCCCCAGTCACACACCACCTCTGGTACAACTCCAACAGAATCTTTTACCACCACTTCAGGAACAACCTCTGTTAGTTTTACCACAATCACTGCAACCAGCACCACCAGCACCTCTGAAATTGTTCCCCCTGGCTCAACTAGCACTTCTGGTCCAACTGCAACATCAAGTGCAGTCACTGTTGTTGGAAGTTCTACGTACAGTACAGTTACTCCACTCAGTTCAACTGCCAGCACTCCTGGAAAAAATTGTTCTATTTTACCTAATGAGTCTTATGCAGTGAGTAGATTTCATGAGTTTTTTTTAATATTCTGCTCTGTATGGAGACTAGTTTTATGATTTCAATGTTATTAACATACAGAGTAGATATTAATACGGATAGAAAATAATGTATCAGTCCATTCTGTTTCTTTCTGTTTTCTTGGGTATCAGCATGACTTACAGTGATATTCAGTTTGATAGCTTATATATTGCTTTTAGTTCTTCAAGGATATTTTTAATTAAGGCTTTCTTCAAGACATGATATCACAGCTCAGTGTTTGTCTTTACTGTAGGACAGCTTTGATGAAGAGGTAACCAAGGGCTAAGTGGTGCTAAACTATCTTTTCTGTTTCTGTTTTTGAATAGGTCTAGAGTGGGAAAAAGTTGTTTATGTGTTTACAGTGCAGCCCAACAAGAAACCACTGGGCTGAAGTAGTCTGAGTCTGGAATGAGTCATACTTGGTCATAGTCTGGTTTCAGGAGAGGACTGGGAAACAGATCACCATATTCAGCTGATTGTGAAATTTGACCCAGAGTTCTGAGTTTTTTGGAACCCTCCACTTCTGACACAGACAAGCTAATGTCTTGTACATTTCTAAAGCCTCCTTACCACTTAGATGTCAACCAACTTGCTCAGTAGATTTGCAGGGATAAAAATTATACATGGATGAAAAACTGGGGGAAGGCAGAAAAAATGCCTAAAATCACAATGCATGCACATAATCACCTTAGACATTACTCCCCAAATAGCTTTATCTGTTAATCTGCGTAGTTTTACCTGATAATCTGTTCTAGGCATTCATGGAAAGGGATTGACCATATATTGATCACTGATAATGATCAGTGCCTTTCACTGTTGATTAGAGACGGAGTCTAGGTGATGAGATTAGATCAGACATCTAACTTTTAGATAGCTGAAACTAAAAATGGCAATTCCTACTTCAGGTTACTGTCTTGACTTTTATAAGTAGTGCTTTTCACTTAGCAGCTCTCTGTAGTGCTAGCTCATCTTGCAGGCCTTGATGGTGCTGACTGCTGCATTTCCTTCCCATTTTCAGAATTTTGGTGGGGAAAAAATTATCAATAAACATATGACATTTTAAAACTCTGCAAAAGTTATTTAGGCATAACTGTTGTCAGTCTGATTGCTTCATAAGGTCTCTCTCTCTTGCCCCTCCTCCTCTCTTTCCAACCACAGCCTGGCGAGTCATGGTGGCTCTGTGACTGTTATAAAGCAATATGTATAGAAGACAATATAATCCAGGTGGTTCCCATAATCTGTAATCCACCTCCTAAACCTATTTGTTCCAATGGGCTTTCTCCTGTGCAAGTCATTGATGAAGATGGATGCTGTTGGCACTGGGAGTGTGATTGTAAGTATATATTTTGCTGAATATTTTATCTCTGGTGAGAACAGTACTACTGTCAAGAGCAACAATATTTATCAGGGGACAAGTATCACACAAGACTATGACCCTCAGACTTCTAGCGTTGCTCTGTTTGGCATGTTTAATTGATTCTTTCTTGCTAATCAGGGGCTTTTATTTAAATTGCCATTATTTCTACATAATTATTGTATTAGTAGAATAAATTGACCTCCCAAGGCCAGATTTAAATGTCCAGGTGCAGACATCTACAGGCTAGAAGCCTACATGTAAATTATTTGTTCAGATTATTGGTAGAGGTATATCTAGGGTTCAGTTAATCCTATTCTTAGATGTCTATCAGAAATGTCAGATGAACTGTGCCCTGAAGGTGCCTGTTCTTCTTTATTATTAATGAGCTCTGGATAATGAGCTCATGCATTGACATATACACTTTAAAAATGTAAATGCTTAAATTTAGATGAGATTCGATTTGTATTCTGATCTGTTTCTGTATGTTGCCATAAGAAACTAACTTAACTGCATTTATTTGTAGGCTACTGCACTGGCTGGGGAGACCCACATTACATGACTTTTGATGGACTGTACTACAGCTATCAAGGGAATTGTACATACGTCCTTGTGGAGGAGATTGATAAGAAGGTTGACAACTTTGGTGTCTACATTGATAACTACCATTGTGATACACGGGATGTAGTGTCCTGTCCTCGAACGCTCATTGTGAGACACGAGACTCAGGAAGTGCGCATAGCAACAGTCAAACCAAATAGTCTACAAGTAGAGGTATTGGAGGATTTTTGATTTCTTGAATTTTAGGGGGAAAAAAAACAAAACAAAACAAAACTAAAAAGAAATCTACCTTTTAGAATTAATATGAGTTTGGATTATAAAATAGGACTGCTTTTTTGACTCTGAATATGGGGAAAAATTTCTACAACATCTTCCCTTCTTTATCTCAAATATTTGCAGTTCCTTATCTCTCCTAAATACACAGACATGGACAAATTACTAAGAGTTAAGGATCCAAAATAAATTCATTTATAATTAATATTAATGTAAGATAATAGATGTTGAATGGGAGGCTAAAATGTAAACTAAATATAACAATAAAGTACTGGGCTTAAGCATTTTTAAAATGTACCATTACTAGAGTTGATTGGTGTCATCTTTATAATTGTTCAGGGACACTTATGTGTTTATTTCATTGATAAACATGATGGCCTAGCTTTGGGGCTTCAAAATTGGGTGAGAAGTGTTTGTTTTTAGGCTTTTTGGGGGGTTTGTTATGTTTATTTTTGTACATTACTGTGTGGGAATATTACAAGTTAAGTTTCAGCATATTTATGAAAATTTGCAACATTTAGATCTCTTTTTTTATCTCTAAAGCAAGGAAATCTACCACTGTGGAGTAAAAATGGTAGTCTTAATTCCATAGGTATATCATGGCTACTGTATTTAAATAAATAATACAGATTTTGGCTTATTTCTTTCATTTAATTCTCCTATAAGCATGTTCCCTTTGTGTCAATAAAGTTAAAACAGTGTGCACTAGAAATTTAGAATTTTATATTGAATTTTCATGGTGTCTCCTCAATGCCATAGTCACTCTAATACATCTGTTGAGTGTTGGAATTTAGTTGGCTTAAACTCTGAATTTTATCCTAGTTTATCAGTGGCTTGTAGGCCTAATCTATGACTCAGAAAAGTTTGACTTTCCAGTAACATAAAAGAATCCAGAGGAATACTTATTACAAACTAAACCCACATTATTTGCCTTTACATTCTGTCTCCAATGCAAAGTAATGAACTGTCAGTTGTTTTCTAAAGGCAAACTAAATATATGTCTCTTTTCTGTTTTCTTTTATTTATTAGGTGACAGTAAACAGACAGACAGTGGCTCTGCCTTATAAAAAATTTGGCTTGAGCATCTATGAGTCAGGCATAAATCGTGTAGTGGAAATTCCTGAACTGAAAATGAATGTGACCTACAATGGCTTGTCCTTTTCTATCAGAATGCCCTACAGCCTGTTTGGCAACAATACTCAAGGACAGTGTGGTAAGACTTACCATTTTTGTACTCTCAGAAAACCACAACCAGGTAAATGACAGACCTGGCACAAAGATGAATGGAATTTGGTAACAAAACTGTAAGTTCTTTCTCCCCTTACCACTTTTAGGTACTTGCAATAACAACACTGCAGATGACTGCATGTTGCCAAATGGAAACATTGCACAAAACTGTGAAACCATGGCAGATCATTGGCAAGTTGTTGATCCCTCCAAACCACAGTGCTCTCCAGGCCTAATTCCTACAAAAACACCTACCACAACCCCAGTGCAGCCTTGCAAAGAATCTTTAATCTGCGAGCTTCTTTTGGGAAGGTAGACATTCCTCTGTGGCTTATAAGCCTTTGATCGTCAAATTAAGTGACAATTTTAAGGTTCATTTCTTAATAAGAAGTGTTTCTAACTATTGCTCCTTTTCCTGCAGCTTTGTGGGTTGCTTCCGTTCCTTTTACTGGTTCTAGATGTCCTTCTTTGCTGACAGTTTTCTTCCAACCCTCTGGAACCTTTTCTGATGTTCTCATGTTTTTCTCCACTCTCTGCCCTCCACTGTCCTATGCTCCTGGCTTTTCCCACACTAACTTAGCAGAAAACAGTCTAACTGCAGAGATATTAATTTTTAAAATGCTGTGTCAGAATTTAAAAAAAAAAAAAATCAACACACAATCTCTCTAGAAAAGTTGTTCATATTTACAGTTGATAATATTCATGTAGCTCCTGGACAGAAAATAATGGTGCCTGAGTGTTTTGCAGGTGAGGGAGAATGCTTTAAGATATGTTGAAGGGTTACAATCTAGATAAGTGCTCTTAGTAAAAATCTCTCACTAATACTCCTTGTTCACATCTCCTTAAGCACCACTATGGCCACATTAGAACATGTTAAGTACATTGAAGAATTTCTGGATTATTCAGTAACTAATAATGATAAATGTTTCTGTTTGTAGTGTGTTCGAGCCATGCCATGCCTTTGTCCAGCCTGAGAAGTACTATGCAGCCTGTGTTTTTGATAGCTGTGTACTTCCCAATTTAGACCTGGAATGCTCAAGTCTGCAGATCTATGCTGCCACCTGTGCTGATCAAAGTGTGTGCATTGACTGGAGAAGTCATACCAATGGTGTTTGCTGTAAGTATTTTGCCATTTATCTTGAACCATTAGGGAAGCTTATATGTAAGTGTTTTGGCAGCAATGTCCTAACAGTAAGTCATATTGCTTTCCGAGCAATGAAGACATCAATAAATCACAACGGCTCTTTTCCTTAAGTAATTTTACAGGTAACATTTTTTTAACAAAGGAAATTATAAATGAGTCTACAAAAATATACATCTATTGACTCTGCCAGAAATATCTGTATCAGTAGATACTTTTTTGTACACAGGCAGTTTTGTGTTTTGCAGACAACAGCAGATCACTTTGTATTTAGTGACCTATGCATTCATTTTCAGCTGTAGTAAGAAGAAGACAGAGGGTAGGAATACACTCCCCTTTGAGAACTTGTGCAAAAGAGACTGAAATTATGAAAAAAAAAAATGTAATCAAGATGTAGATTCTTGGCTTTATCTTAACACAGTATATGGTGCTCTATCTCTATGGCTAAATTGTATAAGATCGTTTCATTGAGACATGAGTCTGATACCTGTTTTTGTCATGGGGTTTTTATAGGGTAATGTTACTGATCTCTTCCTTCTTTTTATTCTCCCATTCCAGCTTATAAATGCCCCTCAGATAAAGAATACAGAGCATGTGGTCCTCTTAAAGAGGTAACCTGCAAATCAAGGTAAATAATTCCTTCCCTGTTATAGCTCATACAACTGCTCAGTCATATCTAATGCACAGGTGGAAGAGAGAAATCAACCTCCTGTCATGCCTTAAAATTGATGGTCAGATTTGGTACCACTGTTTTCTTCATCATAAATCTGTATGCCTGTACTGTTTATGTTGTTTATGCCAAACACAAACACTGACAATCCCGAAATGGCAAATGTGCAAATCATTTGCCCCTGTATCTTCAGTGAAAGGTTATTTGGCATAATCCTCCTCTGCATGCCTATGACAGTAATGGTGTTCCTCTGAACATTCTGTCTCATACAGTCAACAAAACGAAACTTCAACTAAACAAGTGGAAGGCTGTTTCTGTCCTAATGGAACAATGCTGTATGACTCTGGTGTGGATGTCTGTGTGAAAACCTGCGGTGAGTTTTACTGCTTCACTTGGATGCATATTTGTTTCCTTTTTGTTGCTTTCTTCTCATGTATGCAGCATGGATCTGACTGCATGCAGGACTTACACTACATATAGCAGTGATGTCTACTGTTGTATGAGTGGTAATGGAAATTTATTTTTATATTTTCACAGGCTGTGTTGGAGTGGATAAGATACCAAGAGAGGTATGCTGCCATACGCTTTTGTATTTCAAGTAGAGGCTGGGGGTGAGGACAGTGGTCTCCACTGGTGCAGTCTTGTTTTGTGTTCTCCCAACTTTTCATTCCTGTTTTTTTTTGTTTGTTTATTTGTTTGTTTTAAGTGGCAACCATGCAATCACTGACTTTATTTTCTTTAATGACAGTTTGGAGAAAAGTTTACAATAGATTGTCAGGACTGTATTTGCCTGGAAGGTGGAGAAGGTGGAAATGGCATTGTATGTGAGCCTCATGAATGTGCCAAACAAAATAAGACCACCTGTGATGAAGAAGGCTTCTATGAGGTTAATGAAGTCAATTCTGAAGACTTCTGCTGCCCCATTGTCACCTGCAGTAAGTTTATATTTTTATTTCTAATATTTCTATACCTTTAAGGAATACAAAGCAAAAGAGAACTGAACTAGTTTAGCACCAGAGACCTGCAGCACGGAGTCACAAAATAGTATCTTTCCTCATGCTTTTTAAAATCTGCTTGCCCAATGTTAAAGAAAATACATTTTAATATTGCAGTGACTCAGCATAACTGAATTCGCAATTACGCAACCCAGCATAACTGAATCTATAGTTCTTGAGTTCAGGACCACATTTTATTCAAGTAAAATGCAGATAGCTTCTGGAATTCTACATGGGTTTTTACTTCGTGGCAGTTGCCTACAACCTTGGAGAGAGTAAGTTGTCCACTACTTTTCTGTAAAGGATTGTGATATTTTTAATGCTTGATAATTACATAGTAGAAAAACTTTCATAAACTAGTGCAGTCCCCCAATCCAGTGCCTGGATTCACTAGGAAAAATGTGTTCTCATTCTGCAATTTGTTCCTTTGGAGAGGATCTGGACTGTTTCCTAGCAATGTAAAGTCTATGCTAAATGCTTTGATAGATGCTTATTTATAGTAGCTGTGATTTAGCACACTTTCTGGATATTTTTTTTTTTTTTTCCAGGATGCAATACAAGCTTGTGCACAACAAAAGCCCCTAAGTGTACACTGGGATTTGAAGTTCATTCTCATATTCCCAGTGGCCAGTGTTGTCCTGTGTACGAGTGTGGTAAGTCCCTTGTAAATACATTACAGTTATTAACATTATATATTACATAATTTAGCATCATATCTAGTAAGACTGTATGCAACAGACTATTGAAAGAGGTATTAAACACAGTTACATTCTGCAGATTGGTTACTATTAACATTAGTTACTACTGGTATGGTTATGACTGATGACTACAAAATCAAATATAGCCCAGGTGGCTCAAGTTCAATTTTCTGGTTGTAAGTACATGTAAGAACAGCTACAGAATTAACTGGGACTGTGGTCTCAGCTTAATCTAGAAAAATATCCCTGTAAGCATCTCCATCAGAAGACAGCTTTACAATGTCTGCTTTGTTCTTGGCAATTGAAACAAGGAACTAATTGTACCTGTGAAAGGGAGATTCCTGGCTGTGAACTGGACTGCATAAATTGGGCCAAATCTTCCTCCCTTTTTACACATGCAGTATTTGTTCTTATACTTTGTATACGTTATGTCTGCTACCAGAAATGGGGAATAACCAATATATTTGACGATATGCGTTGTGATTCATTGTGGACGAAATGAGTTTGACTAGAGTGGGGTAGAGTGGGGTGAAAACTTTTTTTTTTCTTTTTCCCCTATGTAACCACCTAACTCCTTGCTTGTTAACAGTTCCCAAGAGGGTTTGTGTACATCAGAATGCTGAGTTCTTGGTAAGTTCCTATTTCAATAGCCTCCTGAAAATGCTTTAAAAACCAGTTAGTATACTTTATCAGAAGTGCTATGAGGAGATTTATCTAGTGCAATCAATATTTTAGAAATTTTCAAATTCCTATCAGTTTCACAAAGCCTAAATCTTTTCTGAAAATTTGCTGTCTATGAAAGAGACTGAAGAGGTGTTTGTATGTCAGTATCAGAGAGAGATTTGGGTTTAGAGTTCAGTGTGCATGCATTTTAAAAAGTCAATCCACATATCTTGTCAGCATGTTATTGCAGTTTTAAGACTCTGCTTTCAAAAATGAAAAGATTTGTCAGTAAGTATTATTCTAGACGGACTTAGATTCCTGATAAATTCTGTTGGGTCTAGTAATTGTTTTATTGCAGATATTTGTATGACATCTATCTTTTTAATATCTGAGTTTATCATTGTTATATAGGACTTCAATAAAGATGCGTTGAATTAAATTCAATATTTTAAATGTTGTCTTCATAAATAGCTAGCCAAATAGCTATCCAATAGTCTTTATGATTGTTTCCTTTTCTATTGTTTGCTTTACAGATTTTTTGGAAACTAAGAAATGTGTCACATATGTCATATCTCATTAATATACGATTTTTTTTTCTTAAAATCTATAGCCTAATTCCTCAGTCTTTGTTGATAAATGTCACAATTGTTTCTGCACTAATGAAGTTAACATCAGCACTCAACTGAATATCATCTCATGTGAACATATTCCGTGCAACACATATTGTGAACCAGTAAGTGACAAACTTAAAACAAACAACCCCCCCCCAGCCTAGAATACCCACGTACGTGAAAAGCAGTTTGATCAGAGCGGTATAAGCAAAGGGCAGGAGCAGAAATTCAGAGTCCAACTCCAGTGTGGATACCAACTGCCTTTGAGCAAATCTATTGCGTGAAGCTTGACTGTGTAACTTCAGCATTCAGTTCACACTGAAAAGATTAAGTGGGAAATTTCTGTAAAGCACTTAATGGAGTGATTTTTAATTATTGGGAATATTTGTTGTAGTGCTTTAATTTATTCCATCCATAGCCTGCTTTTATTACAAACCTTCTGTTGGGTTGGAACACAAAAAGGCACAGAAAGGCACCAATCTAGAGTGCACTTTGAAGCATAATCAATTAATGGGTTAGTATGTTTTCATTTATTTCTCAAAATACATATATCATAGTGCTTTAATTTTTAATTAATTTTAATATCCAGGGATATGAGCATCGACCAGTGAAAGGTGAATGTTGTGGAAGATGTGTGCAGACTAAGTGTATTATACATACAGAAAACAATTCTCACCTCATCTTGAGTGTAAGTATGCTCTACAACTTATGTCTCTACTAAATTGTGAAGTTCTCCCTTTCAGTGGGGGAACATTTCCTTGTCAGAGATAAGGTTTAGTGTAAGTTTGCACCTGAAAGGTCAGAGGCTCACCTAAAACAAAGCCTATATACAATTTTTTGGCCTGAAGGAAGGACTCATTAAATGAAATTTTCTGGAAGGGTCTTCTTGGAATGGCAAATCCGGTACAGTTGGAAGAGTTTCTCTTGCAGTGGCTGCAAGCTTGGGCTTTTCTATATTATTTGACTTCTGTGTACTGAAAAACACTAGTAAAACCTGCATATGACACACTATTATTGTCCCTGTAGGGTGAAAGGTTAGGATTGTTCTTAATTACCATGTAACAGTTTAGCTTTCCCTAGGCAAAATTCATTGGCATGGATCATTTTCTTAATGACTCTAATGCATTCTAAATACTTTAGAGGGATTTTTCTTTTCCCATGGAAATCCCATGTGAAACTGAAGATTCTTTCCATGTATAACATACTGCAATACATGTAATAATCTGTATCCAAAACAGCTGTTAACCTAAAAATAATTGACTGGGAAACAAGAGGAAAATCATTGTCAGAGGACAGGAGAATTTCTGTTTGAGCTCCCTTCAGCTTTCCTTACTACATTTTGTATTTCACTTGCAGCCTGGAGAGTTTAAAAATGATCCTTACAACAACTGCACCATTTATAGCTGTGCAAATATCCACAACCAGCTTATTTCTTCCACATCTGAGATTACCTGCCCAGCATTCAATGAGGAAAGCTGCAAACCTGTAAGTAAATATGGAAAATGTACCCGCTACTCAATGCATAGATTACTTCAGTTTAGTTCAGCTACCTAACGAGACACAAAAGTAAAATTAAGCTCTGGTGACCTTTCACCAATGTTTCTCAGTCCCAAGGGCAAAAGTTTCTGCTGCATCCATGCACAGACCTATGGAGTATATAAAATAAGATACCTGGGTGAGAGTTCAAGGCTTATAATTGGCAGCTGTCTCTCAGTAGCCACGACACTGGTCACCTTGGAGATATAAAGTCCTCACTGATGGCTTTGTGTGGGGTCCTGTCTGAACAAGAACCATGTTTTTTTGTATGAGACAGAAACACAAGCTCCTCAGTCAGTAGGCTGCCTGTAACACCATGCATACTCCCCGTGCAAATACTGAAGCCTCTGAGAAAGCACTTTTTGTAATTGTTTCTGAGGGAGAACTGCATGATGTTAACTGTGACTTCCTTCAAAGCATTATCTTTATTTCCACAATCCCTTGTAAATTGATACATTTCAAGTCTGGAAGAGACAATTATCTCTGTTTATTCAGGTCAATGTTACAGTTTTTGCTGATTATTTCCAGCCATCAAGAAATTGCTTTCCTCAGTTATTGGCCTAACAGTCTCTTTAATACCAGGAAAGAAAATAATATTTTTCCTATTTCTTTGTTCTTTTAGGGAACTATTACATTCTTACCGAACGGTTGTTGCAAAACCTGTAAGTATGCTAGTGTACCTGAATCAACAACACAGAGAATTAATTTTCTTCTTAGATCAACCTATTTTCCAGCCATTGAGGCTGATATATTTGTATTTAAATAGATGCTTTTATACTTATGTTTGTTATTCCAAGCATTCACTGTCCAATCTCTTTGGGAAAGTATAAACTGAAGCGGAAAGACCAATTAAGACAACTCTTTGAGTGCACTATCGAAGCCCAGAGAGTGCTGAACTGCAAGGAAATTCTGGTGCTATTTCACTGAAAGTATTTTCTGATCTTTCCCTATAGGTGCACCTCTGGATAGTAACACACCATGCACTGTTCGTCAGAGAAAAGACTTTATTGTCCATAAGGGCTGCCGTTCTGTGGACAGAGTTGTCATGACTGAATGTGAAGGAACATGTGGAACCTTCTCACTGTAAGTAAACTGATCGGACAATGAGATTTGAATTCTGCTGGCACTGAGCTTGTTTACATAAAAGGAACAATAAATAGGTAGACTACAGAATGGTAGAAGACCTGAGACTATCAGCTCTCTAAATCATGGTGACAAAATCATAAAATCTGTGACTGAACAGTTGATTCATCCTAATACAGAGCAGAAAAGTGTATTCAATTGCCTTTGGATTCAGACAGCTATGATAAGGTCTATTCTCCCATTAAGAGCTGGCTTGTCTGTCATTTGTGTCAGATCACCTTGGCTAGAAATCATCACAAAAGAACATGAATTATTTCCTGAAATGGGAATGAGCCCAGAGAGTGGCCAGACCTGAAAAGCTGCTTCTTGATAATGAACACCTAAAATTAAGTACACATACATCTGTGAAAGATTCAGACACGCATGATTTTTATATAGCAAAGAAATTAGAAAACAAATTCTTTAGGGGTAGCGATAGTAGAGTAGTTTCACTGTACATTTTCCTCTGAAATGAATCTACAAGAAAGTGGCTATAAGAAAGTGGCTAGTAGGACACCTCGTACCGAGCTATTAAAACATTGGAAAAACATAATTTTAACTCCCCAATGAAACTGTCATTTGATGCCTATCACTTAATACGACACAGGGCACCTAACATGGGAGAAAACTGATCTTTAGTCTCTGACTGAACCCCAGTTAGCCAGGGGGTTTATTAGTATTTTGAAATACCTTATCATCTTAAGAGTCTTGCTGGGGTGGCCTCTGCACACAAATACAAGAAAAAGATGGCTCTTGACACAGTTTATAGCCTGATATTGCAGATTCTGCAAGTTAAGACTGGTGCTTGGGCGGTTGATGAGCACAATCTGCAAAAAAATACTTTGCTGTGAGATAGAAACAGAAAGAGATGATGTTTCACCTTCCAGTTAACACTGCCCAGTTTGGGATATGCACTTTGATTCATATGATGCAGTTGTAGCCCTGGTAGGCAACTGACTGATGTGATGCTATTGGAGATGGCATTGTAGCCACTTGTCTGTGCAGTTTTCTTATTCAGATCAGGGATTTGTCCCTAATTGTTGATCTGGTATATTTAACATCCATCAGCACTGGGATGATGAGAGGAATTTAGGGTAGATGGGCTCCTAGAACTCACCGGATCTTTTTACTAGGACTTCAATACTAATTGTTTTACCAGAAAAAAATATCTCAGCAAATGCAATGGATTTTAAAAGCATATTGTTAGAACCACTGATGTGTCAGATGAGCTTAGCACTTTCATTAGCCACAGCTGTGGCTCTGCTGCATATTATTCCAAGCTTCTCAGAGGAGTTCTGTGTCTAGTCTCACCCGCCCTGTGTGCTGGCTTCTGGCACTGAGTAACGTTGCCATTTTCAATGTTAACAGATACTCCGCTGAGGCCAATTCAATGGACCACAGCTGTTCCTGCTGCAGGGAATCAAGGACTACTGTGAGGAAAGTGAAACTGAAATGTCCCTCTGGGCATTCAATCTCCCATAAGTACATCTACGTGGAAAGCTGCAGCTGCCAAGACACGAGTTGCAGCAGATCAGGATCCAGTGAGTTGCAGAGCACAGAAGAAAATGACCACTTGAGCTCTCTGAACCGTATCAAGAGGGCCATCAGTTTAACATCAAAATGAAGAGGAAAAACCTATCAACATTCAACTAAAAGGACTATGCACCATTCCCATCATCCTTGACTGCTTTTGAACTTTGCTTTTCCCAGTTCCTGTATCCTGTTTGTTCTCTGATTGTTTTTAACAGTGCTCTATTTATTTGTGTACAAAATAAGAATACATATTTGTATTCTTCTAAGTGCACAGCCTTTTGGGTCCTTTTATAATCAGCTTATTTTCTCTGAATGATTAAAAGCACGTTTCAAAAAACATGGGCTTTGTACTTATTCACATGCTGTCTTGATGAGTCTGAGTTTTAAAAAAGAAGAAAAGTTCTTTTTCAAGTTATAGGAAGTCAACTGACATATTTACTAAATTTTTGAGATATCTATTTCTGGATCCTTAAAAACTGAAATATCAGAAGGTAGTGTCTGGAGAACCCAACTGCAAGGTAGAGCAGAAGTTGATGCTATGTGCCAGAACAAAGCCAAAAATGAATCATGAATGTATTTGGATGACTCAGAGAAGCTTCTAGTTCAGCACCAGATCTCATTTTAGCAGGGCTATGTGTGTTAGAACTGTCTCAGTTCATCACAATTATGTATTTTCACTAAGAAAGTAGGCCCTCAACTGTGAGAATATGAAGTTCATTCACAGTGTTTGAGGGCTGTATAGTTAGTACTACAGTAGGAGGTCTCCAAATTCCAACATCTGCGAAACAAATGCCTGTCTCTGGCCTAGTAATCCTAGGCTTTCTCTGGAGGAAATGGAGAGAAATAGTAATTTTTGACATTCATTTGTCTCACAAGAAAGGACATATCCAAAGGAGGTTAGCTGAATCGCATTCTAAAGTGCCTGTTTATCTGATGTTACTGTAAAGGGAAATGAAGGGGATTAGCTGAGAGATGGGCATCTCTCTTGAATCATCTGAAGTACAGTGAGGGTAATCCATACCTTCTGTATGAAAAATGCTTTTGGTATTATTTTGTCTCTGTGAATGAACTCTAACTGTGCTTTATCCTTCTCAGAATTTAAAGTAATTTCTTGAGCCACAGCCAACCTGAATACAAGCATCTTTGCTACCTAAAGGATTGGTGGCACCATTTTGTGCTACTACTAGCCCTACCAAATGTGTTGCAGTTTATAATGCAGACACTGGTAGAAATGCACAGAAAATGAAACTCCAGAAGTCTTGCATCTTTAGAGTATTATGATTAGAGAGCTAATTTGTGTGGAGGGGGAGAGATAGCTGATCTAAGAATAAGGAAGTTTTGTGAATTTAAAAGCAAGCTCCAGAACTAATGAAGCCTGGTTTCTGCTTCAGTATGGGTTTCTAAAGATGCCTATCTCTAGGTTCATTGGGAGATGTGACTGAGAATTTTCTCCTGGGACATTTACAAGATCACTCTCTTCAGTGGATTCTTTCTTGTCTAACAAATTCTGTGCTGACACTACAGCCATATTTTTCCTTGAGTCGTTTGCAAAAACCACTTTTCTCAAAATCTGTTGACATTTAGCTGTCTTTGTGATCTTAATTTTTGCAGTTAAATTTGGCTGAAGTCAGCAAATAGCTCCTGGAAACAAAGAGATACAAGGACTGATCAAATCCATCTTGTTCCATATGAAAAAGAGAGAAAATATTCCAAGTTAGTAGTGACATTTTGCTGCACACTATATTTACACTGAGGACTAAAATCTCCTTTGCTTCATTGTTTTCGTTTGTTCTGTAGTTTGCATGGGATCTTTCTACCCCTTCTAGTGATGGACAAACTACTTCTAAATAAGGAAGTTAAAGCATCCTGTGTAAGTCAGTAAGGCTGCAGATTTTGGCTTCACCACTGCAGGGCAGTCTATGGCTAAAAATGTAAAATCACTTCGGATGCAAAAAAAAAGAAAATTGCCTCAAAAAGGGCGTTTGTACTTCATCAAGTAGAAGGTTTTACCTCTGAGAAGAATTTGGGATTTCCCCACAGACACTTGTATGCTCTTAGTAAGCACTGGAAAAAAAAGGATTATTCTGACAAGAATTTACATGTATGCAAAGGATGGTGTTGCTTACATGGTCTGGATTGTAGCAGCCCCTCCAGTTTTGGTGCTGGGTCAGTGCTGCCCATAAGCAAGCTCCAAAGCAGGTGCTGTCAGAGAATTCTTACAGGTACTTGGCAGTTCCAGGTCAAACTGTACATGTCAAGCCTCCACCCTTTTCTGCACTTTCAGTCAGTTTAGAACTTTGCAGTTGAATTCTCACCTGTATTTCCATTGAAACTGGATGACAAAATTGAACAGATTAGACTTTTTCCAGCAGAGAAATCCACAAATAGTCTTTTGGAGAGAAAGGAAGGGTAGAAGCTTTAACTGTGTATCCCTACAAAGACAGTAACAGTGACAGCGAGCAGCACTTTTGCTCCTTCCCACAACCATCTTGGAAGTAAATGGAGATCTGTCCTGCCTGATCTCATGGAACATTTTATTTCTTAAACAAGAGCTGTTGGGTCTGCAGGTCATCGAGAAAACCCAGGGGACCAACTGAAGAATTGTCTCACAAGGTTGTGTTATCTCAAAGGAGATGGTAGAACCTTTTGATCCCATTGTCTCCCAGGCAGGACCTACTGCAAAGTGCACTGGAAACTTCATAAAAAACATTGGTGGTGGAAGGGAATGGGACTGACTCCCTCTGTCCTCCAAGAATGACTCCATTCTCCAGGAATTTCCTTGTCTTTTCGGGTCTATCAAGAAGGGAGCAGTAGCAAGAGCCCCAGCAGAGTTCACCTGGATGGCAGAATAGCTAATACACTGTCATGTCTCCATGCCAAAGGCCTGTGTTCATCTCCTCTTAGACTTTCTCTCTAGCTTTCATTGGTAGAAAAGGGTTTCTTTTCATTTTTTTTTTTTTTTTTTTTCTTTTCCTTCATCTTCAGTTACTCAACAGCTCTAGTTTTGTCTTGGAAAAGGAGGTAAGCCTTCTTGGGAGGCAAGTGGGACTTCTAGCCAAACAGCCTTTGAAGGCACCAAAAGCCAGGGTCCTAGGTCTTGTTCTCCAAGAGCTGCTTGGTTTGGCCTCACTTTGTCACATTGTTCCTAAAAAACATATGAGCAGAGTTCCTCTAAACATGGGATATGAACATGTCCCTGAGCCCCTCAAAGAAGCCCTTGAACCTGCTTGGACATTCTGGTGAACAAAAAACACACAAAACAATAAAACAAAACAAAATGATGGACTTATTGCTGCTTTCCCTAAGGAAAGGAAGGGCAGACACAGGCTGGCTGAAATCCCCAAGTACAGGCTGGATCTGGGATTTACCTGTAGCATGATTATTGCCTTGGTTGCCAGAGGTTGTGATTTTGAGTCCTTGCCTCAGGCGCAGGCTACTCTAAAGTATCTGGAAGCTCAAATCCTTCCCAGGAAACTGCAGTCTTAGAGGAAGCTCCTCACAGCATAGAGCTAGCTCTAGGAGACCATGGCCAAACACTGGAGCCAGCTGGAGTGAGTTGGCTGCAGCTCAGGGAGGGTGCTGTTGCCACACCAGTAATGAGCACTGCAGCTGAGGGCCTCCAGTGCAGCTCTTGGCACACTTGGCCACTCTAATGAGTAAAAAAGAAAAAGCTCGTTGTCCTATTGCATTGTAGGTCCTTGTGGAGGTGGAGGAGGGATACACACAAGTATTCCCTTAGATGTACCCTAAGTCTTCCTTATGGTAGGTTACATGCTTCCCTGGAAGCAAAGAGATTGTGGCATGCACTTCATCTGTGGAAGCACATGGGTTTCATTCCCAGTTGTAGTCTTCTCCAAGGTAGATTGAAGCTCAGACAATTTCTTCCTGGTTACCCGGAGATGCACTGGAAACTCAGTGTTAATCATATGACTCTACAGTAATACAGTGAGAACTTTCATCTGGAGTTATAAAGGAGTTCTCAGAAGATTTGCTGATAAAGCGAGCACAGTTGTTTTATGAACCGTTACTGGACAAGTGTTTTGAGAACACCAGGGGCAGAGAGAAAAATCCTTGTTAGCAATACAGAAAAATCACTGCTGTTATCTGAGGTGAGGTAGATGGGCTTCCGAAGGGAAAAAGCCACATGCAAATGAAGAAAAAGCCTTCTCAAAATATTACAAGGTAAGGATTTCTGATCTAATAACTACCCTGTTTAGTGATGTAACTGTGTATTATAACATATCATTTTGTGCTGTAGGAGAGGAAGGGTAAGATAAAAATTTCAGTATGTTTACTGTTGGACTGTACTTTGCTAAACCACACTTCGACTGAACTAAGCACATACAACTGTATGTAAGCTCCAATGAAAGCACCAGAAAAGGCAAAGCCTTAAGTAAATAATCATGTAGTTACTGTGCTTGCTATTTGAACATGTGTAGCAAAGCAAACTCAGATACTGGGAAAATAGGCAGAAATAGACTTACAAACTCTACGATCATAGGAAAGAAAATTCTTGTGAACTTTAGGTTCCACAAAAAGTGAAATATATTTAAATGACTGTAACACTGATATATGATTTCTGAAATTTCATCTCCTAGCAGAAGCTTTGAAGGGTAGGAGTACTTTAAGGCAGAACAAGTTCTTCAAGTTAAGCAGCTCTCTTCCTAGGCCAAATTTCCTAAATTAGCTCAATCTTTTCAGGCTACCACAAAAAACTGTGTTCTTAACTGACAACCTCCCAGACTAACTTCCAAGCTGGATACGTAAATCATATTCCCACCATTAAAGTAGAAAATCCTCTAAATTATTTTTCAACACCACCCTTTTAACATCTGATATGTTCAAGCTGGACTTTCTTTAATGTTTCAGTTTTTCAGCATTCATATTTCAAATCCTTGAATTCCTTTCACAAATTTGTCTCTAGAACAGTGAAAAGCAGCACTGTAATTTTTTCCTTATTCCAAGACTTTGAGAAAACTCACCAAACATAGTAGAACTCATAATGTATTTTTGATATTGCTTCAGTGCAACAACTTCCATATCCGAATGTCTTTCTGTTGCAGCTTGGGTTAAAGACAGAAAACACTTTATGTTACCTTTTGCTATGCTTTTGGCTAGCCTTCTCTCCACATCTGACAAAGAAATGGGTTCTCCTCACTGCCAGTAAGCTTCCTTAGTTCCAGGAAATCATGGCTCTTCCAGTGATAAGCAATTACTCTTACAAAGAGTAGCTTCTAAGAATCATTCTGGAATTTTGTTACTGGTCATATTACATGGTATATTTGACTGGTGAAAAGCTTCTCATTTGCTTTGAAGGCT